GGGAGAGAGAGGGAGAGAGAGAGAGAGAGAGAGAGAGAGGGAGAGAGAGAGAGTGTGCCGGTAGGACGAGTCAGCCTTTACTAGGTTTTGGTTGAGAGATTGCATTGCTGGAAGGAGGGGTGACTGAGAGACCACGTTAAAACCTGTCACATAAAACGTATGCCGTTTATTAAGTGGCCTATGCATGCCTGTGATTAAGGACGTGTAAGGATTTGTACAACTGACACCGGGGCACTAAATTCTTTGCAACCAACCATTCCTCCTCTCCTTCTACCCCATGGCTGCTTTCAGAGCACCAGGAGAGGGCGAAATCAGCAATGAAGACAAGCACGTGGGAAATGACCACTGCAGCGGTGGTGGACTCGCCGACGCCCTTGGACTGCTGCTGCGGTCATGCCCCACCCCTCCCGCAACTCACGTCCTGGACTCCCCTGCTCTCGCCTCTCCTCCCCACTTTCCACCTTCCCTGCTGTCCCTCCCTTTCCCCTTCCTCTCTCTCCTTCCCCCCCTCCTTCCCCCCTGCCCCCTACCCCATAGCTGCTTTCAGAGCATCCCCAGGCCCCTGGAAGAAGCACCAGGAGAGGGCAAAGTCGGCTATGAAGACTAGAACCAGAGAAATAACCACTGCAGCTGTGGTGGACTCGCCAACGCCCTTGGCGCCGCCCTGCGTGGTCATGCCCCATCCGCAGCTCACGTCCGCTATGATGCCCCCAAACACCACCGCTTTCACCATCATGCTCAGCACGTCCCATGCCTGGTAGTGCGGAGAGAGGGGAGAGGGGAGAGAGGGTGAGAGGGGAGATGGAGATGGGAAGAAGCAGGGATGGGCATGCCCCACCCGCAGCTCACGTCTGCTATGATGCCCCCGAATACCACCGCCTTCACCATCATGCTCAGCACGTCCCATGCCTGGGGAGCAAGAGGGGTGCGAGAGAGAGTGATGGTATGAGGTCGAGAGAGGTGTTGGGAGGGGATGGGTGGAGAGAGATGATGCCCCAAACACCACCGCCTTCACCATCATGCTCAGCACGTCCCACGCCTGTGCAGCACCACAGGGAGAGGAGTGAGGGGTAGAGGGTGCAGCACCACGGGGAGAGGGGTTAGAGGGTGCAGCACCACGGTGAGAGGGGTCCCCACAACACCACAGCTTATGAGGGGGCTTATGAGGGGAGATGGTCCATAACACCACAGCTTATGAGGGGGCTTATGAGGGGAGATGGTCCATAACACCACAGCTTATGAGGGGGCTTATGAGGGGAGATGGTCCATAACACCACAGCTTTCCCCATCATGCTCAGCACATCCCATGCCTGTGCAGCACCAAGGGGGGGAGAGGCGTGGAGGGTGGGTAAGAGGGATGAGAGGAGGGCTTATGAGGGGAGATGGTCCATAACACCACAGCTTTCCCCATCATGCTCAGCATGTCCCATTCCTGGAGAGGAGGAGGTGGGGGTGCGGAGTGGGGTATATGAGAGAGAGTGATGGGATGAGGTTGAGTGAGGGGTATGGGAGGGGATGGGGAAAGCTGATGCCACTAAACACTGCCGCATCAGCACGTCCCACACCCTCATTCATACCACACACCACCAACTTACACACCTGCAGCGCCCTGGCGGCCGAGTCGAGGATGATGTTGGAGCTGACGTTGTAATCAGTAGTACCTCAACCCAGTACTGCACCACCTCACACCTTCAAACCCCACATCACCGCGCTACACACCTGCAGTGCCCTGGCACCGGAGTCGAGGATGATGTTGGAGCTGACGTTGTAGACGGCATTAACTCAACGCAGTACTGCAACAAGTCAAACCTTCAAACCACTCACCACCGCTCTGCACACCTGCGGCGTACCTGCAGCGCCCTGGCAGCGGAGTCAAGGATAATGTTGGAGCTGACGTTGTAAACAGCATCAGCGAGGAACACCGAGGAGGCCATGCCCACCGTGAAGCACAGCAGGCAGCAAAGTGAGGAGCGGAGAACACAGCAAGTACGTTCAACACCCTAGCAGCACCTGCAGCGCACCTGAAGAGCACGAGCTGCAGAGTCGAGGATGATGTTGGAGCTGACGTTGTAGACGGCATCAGCGAGAAACACAGAGGAGGCCATGCCCACCGTGAAGCACAGCAGCGTGAGCACGGGGAGAGCCAGGGCACACGCCACCACACGGGGAGTCACGAGGTAATCAACTGGATCGGTCTTGAGCACTCGCAGTGTGTCCGTTTGCTCTGACACCTGCAGGAAGAGGAGGGATGAAGCAGAGTGGCGTGAGCACAGTGCACATGCCACTACATGTGGCATCATGAAGTAGTCTACTGGATCGGTCTTGAGCACTCGCAGGGTGTCCGTTTGTTCCGAAACCTGTTGGAAGAGGAGGGGGAAAGCAGGTAAGGGATGAAGCAGAGCAGCGTGAGCACTGGGAGCGCCAGGGCACATGCCACCACCCTGGGGGTCACTAGGTAATCCACAGGATCGGTCTTGAGCACTCGAAGTGTGTCCGTTTGCTCTGATACCTGCAGGAAGAGAAGGGATGAAGCAGAGCGGCGTGAGCACTGGGAGCGCCAGGGCACATGCCACCACCCTGGGGGTCACTAGGTAATCCACAGGATCGGTCTTGAGCACTCGGAGAGTATCTGTTTGCTCTGACACCTGTGTGTGTGGGTTGCACGGGGGAAGGTAAAAACAAGCAGAGGAACACAGAGGAGGCCATGCCCACCGAGAAGCACAGCAGTGTGAGCACTGGGAGCGCCAGGGCACACGCCACCACGCGTGGCGTGACCAGGTAGTCAACTGGATCGGTTTTGAGCACTCGCAGTGTGTCCGTTTGCTCTGACACCTGTGTGGGTCGCATGGGAAAAGGGAGGAAAGAAGCAGAGAAACACAAAGGAGGCCATGCGCTCACCGTGAAGCACAGGAAAAGGGATACGCAATCATAAACAAGACTCTCACTTCGGATCTTATTATGAGAATTGATGCCAAATTGTCCCCAGTTCGAAGCATGGGAGAGAGGTGCTGGTGCTGGTGATGTGATGGTGATGCTGATGCTGATGGTATGGTGATGGTGTCAAAACCTGCATGTCTGCTGCACCCGTTCTCACCTGCATGGTGCCCAGCTCCGCAGAAAAAGAGCTCCCAACACGGCCAGCCATAATGATGGCGGTGACGATAGGGGAGAGCTCATGGTGCTGGCGTTGAAGCTATGTGCCCAGAACTCACCTGCACGCCTGCACACCTATCATCCCACAGCCTCACCTGCATGGTGCCTAGTTCAGCAGCGAAGGAACTCCCAACACGGCCAGCCATGATGATAGCAGTGACGACGGGGGAGAGCTCATTGTGCTGGTGATGATGGCGATGGTATGTGCCTTAAGTCACCTGCATGACTGCCCACAGACGCACCTGCATGGTGCCGAGTTCAGCAGCGAAGGAGCTCCCAACGCGCCCAGCCATGATGATAGCGGTGACGACGGGGGAGAGCTCTCGGCACAGCGCCAGCGCCAGCACACCCCCCACCGAGCGAGTGAGGCCCAACCGGGCAAACTCCCTCACGAACTGGGGATAGGGCAACGGATGGGAGCGCATGGGAGGAAACGGGAGTGGATGGAAGTGGATGGGAGAAGTTAGGAGGGGCGGGAAATCAAGGTGCCTACACAGGTGGGTCATGATGATGATAGCAGTGACGACGGGGGAAAGCTCTCGGCAGAGCTCCAGCGCCAGCACTCCCCCCACTGAGCGAGTGAGGCCCAGGCGGGCAAACTCCCTTACAAACTGGTGGGCGTGGGGAGAGACAGGAAGGGTTTTGAGTTGACTTAGAACTCGCCAGCGCCAGCACGCCCCCCACTGAGCGAGTCAGTCCCAGCTGGGCAAACTCCCTCACGAACTGGTGGGGGTGGCGGAAGGGAAGGGAGGGGATGGGAAGGGAGGGGATGTTGGGCGAGATGGGAGGATGCAATAGGAAAGGTGATGAATGACTAGGTAGGTAGGGACGACAACATGACGGATGAGCATGCGTGAAGGTGAAGCGGTGTGAGGATTTTTGTTTTGAATTCTTTGAGTGCTCAAGGTCACAGCCGGTGCAGGGAAGATCTAGAGTGTATTATGTCCCAAAAAAAAAAAAAAGGGGGGGGGGGGGGGGGGGGGGGGGGGGGGGGGGGGGGGAAGATCTGGAACACAATAAGCCAGGTGTGACCTGAGTTTTGGATATTAAACGTTGTACGAGGATGGTGAGTGAACAGAACACATGAACACTGAACCTCCCACCTGGATGGTGAACGCCATGCCAACGAAGCATGCTGTCAGCAGGGAGACTCCGAGCGATCCGGGTCCCACGATCTGAAGCTGAGTCAGCAGATTGCGCCAGTGGACGCGCCCCGTCAGCACACGCATGGACACCTGGCAGCACATGATTGCATGAGAGGGAGGAGGCAGCAGCAGAAACCTTCACGAATGCCTTGTGAAGCATCATCGCTTCACTTTGATCTTAAGGGTAGTGATGGATCCATCATGCGCATAGATCTAGCATCTATACGAAGCCAAGCTAAGTAATTTCGCCTCCCATTCATCCCACCTGCTCCCAGTCCCACCTGTCTTGCCGTGATTGTCAGAACTTAGGCTTAGAACTAATACATTAGTAGTAAGCTCAAAGCTCTTTAAGTACATCAGGAATGACCTAGGTATGGATGAGGAGGGAATCAGGGGGCAATCCTAGGGAATCAAGGGTAATCCCAAGGCAATCTCCAATTGGTGGGTTGGGGATGCTTGGAGATTACATTTGGGTTTGGTTGGGATGTGGGTGTACACCCAACCAAACACAAAGTGCAAACTACACTAAACTAGGATATAAAAGTACAAGTACAAAATGTGAGATTGAGGGCTAACACCAACAGTGATGAGGGTGAAAAACGCCCGCCACACCGCCTGAGGCGGCTTCCACTTGAGCTGTCTGACTTTGAAGGCGCCTACAGAACGTCTCACCAGTCCCCCCACTCCTGCGTTCCACCTGCTCCCAGTCCCACCCACCTGTCCCGCCATGATGAGGGTGGCAAACGCTCTCCACACTGTCTGTGGCGGCTTCCACTTGAGCTTTTCCTTCTGCCACCCCCCCTGTCCATGCCTGCTGCCCTCGTCCGACCCGCTCTCGTCAGCTGCTTGATGCGGAGAGACGGGGGATGAGGGAGCGAACAAAAGGATGGGGGGGAGAAGAGTGAGAAGAGATGAGTGCTAAGTGTTCGGCCGTGCCTGGAGCCTCATTTGACCTGCTATTGTCAGCTGGTCGATGGGGGGAGAGAGAAGAGGATGAGGGAAAGACAGAGTTTGTTTTAGAAGATTCTCAAGAATTGTTGGAGGCCTGAGGCGCAGAAGTCGAAAAGAAAAGAAGCAAAAGTAAAATTGGGAGGGGAGGGGAGGGGTGACCGGGGAAAGAGGGAGGAAAAGAGGCCACCAGTAAGAGAACGTATGAGAGGACAAAATTTTGTCGATAGGGAGTCAGGGAATGCGGGAGAGGGGTGAGAGCGAGCAGACGAGACAACAAGCAGAGGCTGAGACACACTCAACTGCCAGTACACACTCAACTGCCAGCATATGTCGCTTGCACTTCTCAGGTGCAGCGTTTGCGTGTCCTGAGACGCTGAAGAATTCTCAAAAGTGACATGCATTCAACTGGCAGCACCTGTCGCCCGGACTTCCCAGCACCTGTCACTCAGGTGTGGCGTTTGTGTGTACTGAGACGTTCTTCTCAACTACCTGATTGATTAGTCACGTGGCAGCACCTCTCGCCCCTGAGGGGGTTTCCCAGGCTTGGCGTTCGCGTGTAGGAGAAAATCGTTCGTAATCACTCACATGGCAGCACCTGTCGATCCTGAGGGAATTTCCCAGGCGTAGCGTCTGCGTGTAGGCTCGCCCGGAGCTTCAATCCGGCCGTTGATCTTCCTCCTCGAGAATACCCTAGCTCATGTATTATTAGACTCGGAGAGGAACCGATTGGTCGACTGGAGGACGTCTGACGAAGCCATCTGCTTTTGTATCCTAGGGATTGTCGGCAGGAGCTGATTGGACCGCCTGTGATGCGTTGCTCTTGCTGGATTGCGGATGTCTGGTTAGCTTGTTCGGATTCGCACGGACGCCGCGTCGCGAAGGTATGCGTATGATTAAGGCACACGCCATTGAGACTCGCTCGTAGAAGAACCATTGTTTGGCTGGCCGATAGCTGTCAGCTAATGGAAATGATCGATTTGTCAAGAACCAACAGCCAATGAGAATTGTTGACTTCGAAATTGCCACGCGATACGAGAAAACACGAGGCCAGTGGTGGAATCAGCAGAGAAGAGAGCCTAAGGAAGACTTTTTACAATTATTTTTCGGAGAGTATTCACAACTGTTAGATGAATGTGGAGATTTTTTTGGGGGTGACAAGGAAACGGTGGTGACTACAATAGAATAGACGCAGGGAAGCAACTATCTCGAGGAATCTACAGAGGTAATTCCCAGGTAGTGGAAAGTGGGAGGTGGAAGAGTTTGATTGGGAAGCTACCGTTACGGCGTATTCTTGACAGACACTTATTGAACTTGACACGACACAACGTTTACCACGATGACAACTAATTCCACCTAGTACTGTACGTACCTTGAACTAGTTGGACAGGTTTCCGAGTCCAAACCGTAACGTTTAGATCCAGATTTTAGCTGAACTCCGTCTTAGAGAACAGGCCCCACCGGCGAGTACGATCAGCCCGAGGTGGCTTCGGGAACTTCGAGTAGCCTTCAGCGGAAGCAGCCATTTCTCCCAGCCGCAAATCCCGATGCGGGGTGCTAATGATGGACGCTACCTCGTGGCACACCATCCATGGCCACCAGTGCCGCTGCTAAGAGCAAAATTATTTCCACTGTCTGTTGGTGGAGCCGCTTAATTCATTCTTGAAGCACGAAGCGTTCGGATGGCTCTGCGCGTATTTCACATGCACGACGAGCTACGTCCGTTGAATAGATTGGGCGGATTTCCTTTTTGCGGCACTCAGTTTCATGATAATGGCGCTCTTCGTTGTAATCACACTGCTCGTCTTGTTCGCGGGCTCGGCCTTAGTTCCACAAGCAATCGCCGTGTCCAATCACGGCCTGCCGTGTGGCGTGTCGGTGGTGAAAGGACGACGGCAATTCCAAGAAGATAGGGTTCTCTGCTCGGCTCTTATCCCTGTTCCAGCTTTCGATATTGTCACTCAAGGTAACGGTCAGATTCCTGTTCCTGGTACTCAATATTGTCACTCGAGGTACAGTTTCACGGCGCGGATCTGTTCCTAAATCTGACTGTGACCGGGAAGTTGACAGAGGCGAAGTATCAGAGCCAGAAATCCAAGGGTGATTGCGCTTAAGCATGTTCAATTGTCACTTAAAACTCGTCATGCCAACATGCAGCATCCATCAACCCAACCTGGAATCATGCTCACATGCACCCTCAACCGTCATGTTAACATGCAGCATCCATCATGCTAACATGCAGCATCCATCATGCTAACCTGCAGCATCCATCATGCCAGATAGCATGCAGCATCCATCGTGCTAACAAGAATGCAGCATCGATCATGCAAACATGCAGCATCCATCATGCTGACATGCATGCAGCATCCATCATGCTAACATGCATGCAGCATCCATCATGCTAACATGCATGCAGCATCCATCATGCTAACATGCATGCAGCATCCATCATGCTAACATGCATGCAGCATCCATCATGCTAACATGCATGCAGCATCCATCATGCTAACATGCATGCAGCATCCATCATGCTAACATGCATGCAGCATCCATCATGCTAACATGCATGCAGCATCCATCATGCTAACATGCATGCAGCATCCATCATGCTAACATGCATGCAGCATCCATCATGCTAACATGCATGCAGCATCCATCATGCTGACATGCATGCAGCATCCGTCACGTGTAACATGCATCATCCATTGCCGCCGTTCTTCATGCCTCCGTCTATTCACCACCCCACCCCATCTGTATTATTCGCCATACCAAACATCCGTCATTCTTCGGCTCTGAATGTTTTCTCCAGGTGGCCGCACCCATCAGTGGGCAGTGCAGCCGGTGGGGGTGGAGGACGGGCACGGTGGAGGCGAGGTCGATTACACCACACCATACCACACCACACCACACCACACCACACCACACCACACCACACCTCACAGTCTATCAAATATTCACTATCCCTCTAACATATCCCCATCCAGGTGGCCGAGCTCGCCAGTGGTCCGTCCAAATGGTGGGGGTGCTGGACGGGCATGGAGGAGGCGAGGCCAGCCAGCTTGCTGCCTCTCTCCGCCCATTAACACCCACTGTCCCTCAAACTTCTCTCATCCCCCATCCAGGTGGCCACACCGCCAGTGGGCAGTGCAGGCGGTGGGGGTGCTGGACGGGCATGGGGGAGGGGAGGCCAGTCAGCTCGCTGCCTCGCGCCTCCTCCCTTCCCTGCGTGCCAGACTCGCCGCCCTGCCTGCTCTCAGAGGAAAGCAGTCGCGTTTTGATTGCAAGGCCGTGCACGAGTCACGGGTGGCGGATGAGAGGGATGGTGATGGGAGGAAAGGGTGCGGTGGTGGGGGGGGGATGGTGGGAGGGATGGTGGGAGGGATGGTGGGAGGGATGGATTTGCGGGTGGGGAAGGGACAGCGGAGGAGAGAGAGGGGCATGGGGAGGAGGAGGGGGAGGGTGAGGAGACCGAGAGGGAGTGGGAGGAGCAGGAGAGGGTGAGAAAGCGGGTGCTGGAAGGAGTGTTAGCAGGTGCACTAGAGGACGTGGATTCAGAATTCGCACAGGAAGCTCGCAAGCACCGCTGGTGGTCTGGCTCCACGGCTGCTGTCGCCCTGCTTGTCTTCCACCGCTTCCACCGCCTGCTGCCCTCGCCTCCTTGCTGCCACCCCTGCTGCAGCACACGCTGTACTCACAATGACCAACCCACCTGCCACCACCAGCACTCGTGCTCTCCTGATGCATGCACAGCTGTCCAAGAATATGAAACCGAGTGGGAGCTGCTGCACGTGACTGTGGCCAACATAGGGGACTCCAAGGTTCTAGTCTGTGGAAGGAGCAAGAGGCGTGGAGGGCGGGCAGCGGTGGGTGGGCGTGCGATGCATACAAGTGTAGTAGGAGAGCAGCAGACGAGTCAGGAGCGAGGAGATGTGACAGAGGGTGTGCTGCAGGGGACTGTTGGGAAGCAGGGAGTGTTGGCGACCAGTGATGGCATGATGGGGCCTGTGAGGGACCCGGACACCACCGATGCACATGCCATTGTTGCAGCAGGAGGGGTGGGTGAATGGAGGTGGCCGATAGGAGGAGTCATGGATAGGGGCAGGGAGCCTGTGTCGGTGCGTGGGTGCAAGCAGGCAGCTGAACAGAGCATGAGCGAGCCAGGTGAGACATGGCTGATGCGAATGAAAAGGACAAGGTAGCTTTTAAAAGTTGTCTCCAGGCACCTCAGAGAAGTAGGCAGCCTGTGACGGTGCGTGGGTGCAAGCAGGCAGCTGAACAGAGCATGAGCGAGCCAGGTGAGGCCCTTCCTCTGGTTACCACGTCCTCTGGTTACCACTGCCTCTGGTTACCACTTCTTCTGGTTACCACTTCCTCTGGTTGCCACGTCCTCTGGTTACCAACTTCCTACCTCGCTCGTATCAATCTCCCTGCCCGCCTCTTGCGATTGCACCCTCCCTACCCCGCTCGCTCCCTCTGTCTTCAGAGCTGCGTCGCTTGGCGGTTCTGCAGAGACGGAAGCAGCGCCTTCGCAAGCAGCAGAGGCGACATGCACTGGTGAAGTACAAGCAGCAGGAGCAGCAGAAGCAGAAGCAGCAGGAGGGGCACGAGCAACAGAAGCAGCAAAGACAGGCGCTACCCATGCCCCACAAGCAACAACAAGAGCAGCAGAAGCTTGAGGAGCAGGAACGGGAGAACCACGCACTAAGCGTGGCCCGAAAGCAGTGTAACCCAGCGTTGCTATCACTCACTCCCCTACAGCAGCAGGGGAAGCGGCAGCAGGAAGGAGAGTGTTCTGCCTTATCGAGGACAGAAGGGCTCACAGACGACCATAACACGAACAGACCTTTGAAACGTTCAAAGAAGCATTTCCCAGAGATGTGCACAACAGAATTGACAAACGACCACAGGGCAGACAGGGAGGATGAGAGGAGGCGCGTGGAGGCGATGGGGGGGAGAGTGGAGGAGCGGGGGGGCGTGGCGCGCGTGCAAGGCGAGCTGGCTGTGACTCGCGCCCTTGGCGACCTGCAGTACCGGCCATGGGTTGTTGCCACGCCTGAGATCACTGAGTGGGTGGTGAGGCGTGGAGCGTTGGGGGATGGGGCAAGGAGGGGTGAGGCAAGGGGGGAATGTGTGGGTCGTTGTGGGGTGGATGGAAGGGGGAGTGGTTGCGGGATGAAAGAAAAGGATGCAGCAAGGGAGGAGTTGAGAGAGGAGGGAGAAGAGGAGGGGGAGTGGGGTTTGGACTGTGTCCAGGTTATGAATGGGAGTAGAGAGGTTGAAGGACGAGAAGGACAAGAAGGGAAATCAGGGCAAGCAACTCAAGAGGAATCAGCATGGGTTAGGGAACGCGATGCGAAGGGCCATGTAGCGTGTGTGGAGGAGGGAGAGGAGGGGGAGGAGGTTGGGGAGGGCGAGGAGAAGGAGGAGGAGGAGAAGGAGGAGGAGGAGGAGGAGTATTTGATCGTGGCAACTGATGGGGTCTTTGAGCGAATGAAATCGTGCCAGGTGTGCGGCATTGTGGGCTGGTAAGGATGATGTTGGTGGTGGGAGTGTTGATGGTGATGGCGCTGGTGATTATGATGGCGATGAGGAGGAGGAGGGGGAAGACGCAAAAGGAGAGGAGGATGAGGAGGATTGGGTGCTTGACAGTGCTGCTGCTGCTGCCGCTGCTGCTGCTGCTGCTGCTTCTGCTGGACCTGACGGTGGGAGTGTGAGCGCAGAGGGGTCGCTGCCCCAGGCCATTCCCCTGCCAATAGGGCAGCAGGAAGGGGACGAGCATGGAGCTCTTGCTGTGGTGAGTGGGGAACGGCAATCAGCAGTGCCTGAAGGGGCACAGGAGATTGCACAGGGAGAAGTGCAGCTGCAGGGGCACATGGAAGCAGCGAGGCAGCAGCAGCAGCAGAAGCAGCAGCAGCAGCAGGTGGCGGTGCAGAGGGGACAGCTGCCGTACTGCTGGATGTTAGAAGGCGTGGAGCAGGGTCCCCTCATGTGCGTGCGCAGGGATGATGGTGAGGCGGGCACACAGCTGGCACTTGCCTGCTGGCCGGAGGGACAGTGCACGGCTGATACGGGATGTACTCTCCAAAATGGATGCAAGGTTGGAAGAGGGTGCAAGGATGGAAGTGCAGTAGCTGCGATTTCCGACGGGGGAGCACGGGAGGTAGAGGGAGGAGAGGTGGTTGCGGTGAGGGAGAAGCAGCCCCAGCCGCTGCAGCAGGAGAAGCCGCAGCCAGAGCAGAAGCAGCAGGAGCAGCAGGAAAAAGCCCAGGCACTGGGACAGGTGGCTGTGAGAGGCGAGAGTGGGTTGGTGGAGGCGAGGAGGTGGGAGGGGAGGGACCCGGCGAGGGTGTGTTGGAGGGGAGTGAGGAGAGGAGGGAGGTAGTTGAGCTGGCAGAGAGGATCACACGAGAGGCCATCCAACGAGGCACTCTGGATAACGTCGCTGCTGTTGTGCTCAAACTCTCCCACTCACATTCACGCAGACACTCCCGCTCGCACACCCACTCACACTCACATGCACCCACTCGTTCCTCCTGTCGCTATCCCCATTCAAGGTCAACTGCCAGTACCCAACCACCCGCAAAGCCAGAAGCTCGTTTCTGTAGCCGTCCCATCCACACGCACGCCCCACCCACGGCTGTAGCACTCGCTGCCTTCCGTGCTACAGCTCCTGCAGCAACTTCTGAACCACCAAAGGCCCCTGCCTCAACCACCCCTATATCACAGCCTCACACTCTCTCTCAGCAGCAGAACAGTCCACCCTTGACACCGTCACCCACCGCTACCTCTGCTCCCTTATCCCCCAAGAACCTTGCTTCTTCCTTCCACAGTCCAAGATCTCCAGCTGGCCTGAAAGCAAGGTCCACAGCGCCGGTTCTGGTGGGGCCAGTGCAGCAGCAGGGGTCTGCTATGCCGGCTAAGGCACCTCCTCCAGGGCGCGAGGACCACCCAGCAGCAGCATCCAGCATCCCCACCGCTCATTGCTACGAGTTGCTCAAGCCCCTTCCTGTTGCTGCTGCCACTGCATCTCGCCCCTCCCTTGTGCCTCTTGGCGAGACCACGCCAGGCACAAGTCTCCCCAGTATCTTGATGCTGGTCCTGTAACAGGAAGAACAGGGCATGTTACAGAGGCTCAGCATGGCCCAGCCCTTCCTGCTGCCTCCTCCTCCCGTCCCAAACCTGTAGCAGGCCGCACTGCAACGGCTGTGTCTGCTGTTGTTGTTCCAACTGTGAGTCGCCGTAAGAGCAGCAGCAGCAGCCGCAGCAGCAATGGTGATGGTAACAGGAATGCTGAAAGCAGGATTAAGGAGCAAGGGATGGTGCAATCAGCTGAGCCCAGTCCGCCTGGGAGCCAGCTGGCAGCTCTCGGTGAGTGCTGAGTGGTCCTTGCACGTTCGTATGCATCCAATTCATGTTCTTGCATCCTTGATTGAGGCCTCCCCGTACCACATTGGAACCTGCTTCTGCTAGCTTTTTTTTTTTTTTTCTAGCCTGCTACCCACACAAGGTGTGGATATGATATATATCACTTCACTTCGTTCCCATTCTTCTCTCTGCCTGCTCATTTGCCCCCTCCAAATCTTTGCGTCAGGTGCACGGGCTGTTATGGAGGCCTTTCAGTGCCTGCTCATCTGGCCCCCGTTACAGTCACACTCTTCTTCGACCTCTGCCACCTCTTCCAGCGACGATCTCACTGCTCTGGACTCCTCAAAATCCCTTCAACCACTGGGACGTCCCCTGACGCATTCACAGCATCAAATCTCAGATCAGGACCATTTGCCTCCTCAGAATAAAATCTCAGCTCGAGATCCTGTACCATCTCAGAATCAAATCTTACCCCATATTCCCAAGCAAGAAGGAACATTGCCTTTTTTCCAAGCTCTTCAGCCCCTCACTCACTCGCCACCCTCGCGTTTCTCGCACTCTCTCGCACACTCTCCTCTCACACTCCCTTTCGATGTTTCACACTCCAAACCAACCTCCAAGCCACTTTTCCTACCGTCTACAAGCCTGGCAATTCCTGCACCTCTTGGCCTGGTTCGGTTTCTGAACCTGCTAGGCTCGGTACCACTGCTCCTACCAGGCCTCCCTGGAAAGAGCGACACGGGAATGGGAAAAGAGAAAGGAGGGAGAGAGGGTTTGGTGGTTGGGGATCGGGTGGAGGATAGGGGGGTGGTGAATGAAGGGGGTGTTAAGACAGTGATAGAGGAAAAGGAGGCAATGGAGGAGGGGAGCTTGCAGGAGGAAAGAGATGGACAGGAGGAAGATTGGGGGGATGCTGATGTGGCTGATGGCGATTGGCCGAAGCACCAAGTGGGATTTGTTCAACGCAGGTAAGTCATTGAGTGCTGCTGCTTTTGGAACGCCTTCTTTTCCACTGCATGGTTGTTGTTTGACTCTCACATGGATTTACAAACTGTGAGCATTGTGGCATCTTGCGTTAATTTAAAAAAAACTCTTTCCTTTGGACAGCAGTATTCCGCCCTCTCTCCCTCCTCCTTCCCTCTGGTCGCCCTCGTTCTTCCTCTCATCATCGGTTTTCTTCTGTGCAACGGCAGCAGGTACGTGCTGCAGAAGAATTTTGCAAGGGGGGGATTTGGAGAGGTATGGCTGGCTGTGAGGAGGGACCCCTGCCACAGGGCGTCTCATGCCCTGCTGCCTTCCAGATCCCAGCTGCCTGCACATCCCCCTCATGCTGCTACATTTACCCATGCCTCCCAACCTCATGTCCCCCCTCCTACCCCTTTACTCTCAGGTACGTGCTGCAGAAGAGTTTGCAAGGGGGGGATTCGGAGAGGTATGGCTGGCTGTGAGGAGGGACCCCTGTCACAGGCCCACCAGTTCCCGCCTGCCCACCAGTTCCCAGCTCCCTGCACATCCCCCACCTACTTCTGCTTTTCTTCCTCGCAACCTCCTTTCTCCCCGTTCCCCCCCTTGACACTCAGGTACGCATTGCAGAAGAACTTCGCACGGGGAGGATTCGGAGAAGTGTGGCTGGCTGTGAGGAGGGAACCCTGTCACAGGCCCACCAGTGCCCAGCTGCCTGCACATCCCCCACCTCCTGCTGCGAAAGCGGCTGTCAGTTTAGGTGAAAAAAGCAAGTATGAGTCATCGGGTCGGGACAGTGTTGCTGTTGAGAGGCCTGTGGTTGAGAGGGGAGAGGAGGCAGGAGAGCTTATGAGGGAAGATGAGGGATTGCGGTATTCAGAGTGGCAGGAGCAGGTCGAGGGCGAGGAGGAGGAGGAGAAGGAGAGGGTAAGGGGAGAGGTGAAAGAGGAAGGGGGAGAAGTGAAAGAGGGAGGGGAGGAGGAGAAGAAAGAGGAACAGGAGGAGGAAGGAAAAAGGGAGGTGGGAGAGGAGGAAGAGGAGGAGGAGGAAGAGGAGGAGGAAGTGGAAGGGGTGGGAGAGGAGGAAGAGGAGGAGGAAGTGGAAGGGGTGGGGGAGGAGGAAGAGGAGGAGAACGAGGAAGAAGAGGTGGATGCCGCGCCACTGTTTGTCCTCAAACGACTACTGGTGGGCCAATCCTAGAATTATCAGTCTGGTGGGTCAAACTGTTCACATTCATGATATTCGGTCGATTCAACGGGTGCAGTGCAGGCCACTGTTTGCTGCGTTCAAATTTCTATGCAAATAAGGCACTGTTTCGATTCACGACATCTAATTTTTGGAATATTTGCCTTGCCCATTTTTTCCCATGCTAACCAACTCCTCCACCAGCCCCTCCCTGTCACCGACGATGCTGCAGGTTGTTTTTGAAATTTCTTAAAAAACAACCTGTCCACTGCACTGTACGTTTTGGGTGAGTTCAGGCGGGGGAGGGCGCTCGACTGAGTGGGCTGCGGGAGAAGTACTTTGGAGAGATGCTCCTCAACGCGACCAATCTAGTGCTGCCACGTGGCGCCCGTCGGCATGGAAGAGGCAAAAGGAGGGATGGTGCTGCCATTCGTGGCTCTGAAGTCCTTACAGGCAACTTGGATGGTGATGTGGATGCTGACGTGGGCAATGACATGGACAGCAACGTGGTGGATGACGTGGACGATGAGCTGGTGGACGATGAGCTGGTGGACGCAATGGGTCTGCATCACATCGCACGCTATGTGGAGTCATTTGAAACCACCAGCGGTGGTGGCGGCGGCGGGAGTAGCAGTAGCAGCGATACCCCCACTGCCACCAGTGTTGATGCTGATGCTGACGCTGATGTCAGCACAGGTGGCAATGAAGGGCAGAGAGAGGAGGCGAGCAAGGAGCAGGGGAAGGATTTGTGGCTTGTGTTTGTGCACGAGGGGGTGTCTCTCTCCTCCCTGCTGTATACGAGTGATGCTGATGATGGGGGGGGAGGCGAAGACGGGGAGGAGAAGGAGAACTCTGCACCAGGAGGGCAAGAATGGGAGGGAACGGAACAAGAGAAGGGAGAGAAAGGAGATGGGGGGAATGAGAAGAGCGGACAGCATCAGGCGAGTGGGGAGCATGCAAGCGGGCAGCAGCAGCAGCAGGCAAGTATCGGGCAGCACAGCATCATGCGGCCTTCAAGGTGGTGGCGGTGGCTGCGGTCCACTCAGGAGGGCGAGGAGACTGTCAGGAGCATTTTAAGGCAGACGGTGAGAGAGAGCACCACCATGAATGGCTAGCCCGTGCCTGTTATCTCCTGTTTGAAGCATCGTTTTGAAACGTCTCAAAACTAAGCTTCAAACAGGAGACTGTCAGGAGCATTCTGAGGCAGACGGTGAGAGAGAGCACCATCTTGAATGGCTAGCCTGTGCCCCGTTATCTCCTTCCTTCACAGAAGCGAATGTCTTCGTACCAAGGGGTGTATTGCCCTTTGGATGCTATCAGGCTGCACTAGGAGATTCCCCTAGCCGTTTTCATCTACTCAGTCTCACCCATTGTACCTCATTCTCCTCGCTCGCCTCTTCCTCTTTCCCTTCCTCCTCGCTGCGCTCTCGCTTTCTGCCCCCTCTCCCTCTTTCTCCTGTTGTCTGTGCTCCAGCTGTTGGGGATTGCTGCATTGCAGCGGCTCTCTGCATGAAGTTTGGATTGAGTCGATTCTAATCCAAGCGCACCCCGTTCTCTCTCCCCCTCGCCTTATTTTCTGCGTTGCAGCTGCTGGGCCTTGCTGCTTTGCAAGCGCGCAACATAACCCACAGGGATATCAAGCCAGGTACGCCGCTGTTTCCCAGGAAACTTTGCTATCTGACTGACTGAGCACTAGTCGAATGCAATGCTACCAGGAACGGAAACAGGAGGTAAAGTCAAGTGCAAGAAGCATTTGTTCTGGTTTCTAAACACACTGCGAGAATGTGTTACTTTTGAACACGTGTCACACTATGACGGCTGCCTCTTAAGTTCTAACATTCGTCGGTCGTATCGGCTGTTTACCAGAGCAGCCATGCCCTCAAAATCATGCGAATGAAATCGGATTCAGTAAATGAAATGCAAATCACTACCACGTGTTTGAATCTTCCAATCTTTTCTCCTTCCCTCATTCTTCTATCCCCATTCGTCTCTTATGTCCACCAACAGAGAACATTATTCTCAAGCCTCAGACCAGAAGGACGAGCAGGGGGTCTAAGTCAACACCAGCCCAGGAAGCCAAGGGGAAGCATGCTCAAAAGCGGGCAGAAAGGCGTGCATCCTATGTGCCTGCACCTGACTCCTCCTCCCCACCGTCAGCGGAAGTGGGAGAATCGCCAGCAGCAGCAACAGAAGCAGAAGGATCACCCTCGTCAGCCAATGAGAGTGCAGCACGTGGCCCTGATTCCATGGAAAACCCGCTGCCGGATTTCAACGCTGACATGCACGTGTGAGTGGGGTGGGCATGCAATGCAGGCAACCACTCACTCTGGATCGAATTTACTTCAAACCGTGTGCTTGCTTGCTCAGCTCAATCTCAACTTTCCTTCATACTGCCCTCGTAGAAGGTGAGCTTTGTCCTAAACAGCTACCATTTGACTGCCTCTCCCTCCCTCCCTCCCTCCCTCCCTCCCTCCCTCCCTCCCTCCCTCCCTCCCTCCCTCCCTCCCTCCCTCCCTCCCTCCCTCCCTCCCTCCCTCCCTCCCTCCCTCCCTCCCTCCCTCCCTCCCTCCCTCCCTCCCACCCTCCATTCCCTCCCATCCCATCAGTCGTGTGCTAGACCTGGGTTCAGCTGCCGACCCTCACTCTGTTCGCTTCCTCTACGGCCCAACAGGGCCTTCCAGGTAACGCGTCCTCACTCTCCAGGTAACGTCTCCCCTTCCAGATAATGCCTCCCTCTCGAGGTAACATCGCCCCTGTCCAGGTGACACCTCCCTGTCCAGGTGACACCCCTCCTTCCAGGTAACACCTCCCCCTCCAGGTAACGACTCCCTTTCCAGAAAATACCTCCCCTTCGAAGCAACACCTCCCTGTCTAGGTAATGCCTCCCTGTTCAGGTAACACCTTTTGGTTCCTGTGATGTGTAATTGGAGCCTCAAAGTTACAAATCGTTGTCTTCTGAGACATCATGAACTGCAATGATAAAATGGCACCTCAGCTCAAAGTTGTAAATAGCACCTCAGGCATTCTCTGTGGGCCAGCTCAATACAACACATTTTAAGGTGGCCACACACCAAGAACTGAGCTAAGTCTTAGAACTCCGGTAGGAAACAGCCTTCTTCTGTCCTGAGGTGCAGTGCAGAGGAAACAGAGGTGCAGTGCAGAGGAAACAGAGGTGCAGTGCAGAGGAAACAGAGGTGCAGTGCAGAGGAAACAGAGGTGCAGTGCAGAGGAAACAGAGGTGCAGTGCAGAGGAAACAGAGGTGCAGTGCAGAGGAAACAGAGGTGCAGTCCAGAGGTAACAGAGGTGCAGTGCAGAGGAAACAGAGGTGCAGTGCAGAGGAAACAGAGGTGCAGTGCAGAGGAAACAGAGGTGCAGTGCAGAGGAAACAGAGGTGCAGTGCAGAGGAAACAGAGGTGCAGTGCAGAGGAAACAGAGGTGCAGTGCAGAGGAAACAGAGGTGCAGTGCAGAGGAAACAGAGGTGCAGTGCAGAGGAAACAGAGGTGCAGTGCAGAGGAAACAGAGGTGCAGTGCAGAGGAAACAGAGGTGCAGTGCAGAGGAAACAGAGGTGCAGTGCAGAGGAAACAGAGGTGCAGTGCAGAGGAAACAGAGGTGCAGTGCAGAGGAAACAGAGGTGCAGTGCAGAGGAAACAGAGGTGCAGTGCAGAGGAAACAGAGGTGCAGTGCAGAGGAAACAGAGGTGCAGTGCAGAGGAAACAGAGGTGCAGTGCAGAGGAAACAGAGGTGCAGTGCAGAGGAAACAGAGGTGCAGTGCAGAGGAAACAGAGGTGCAGTGCAGAGGAAACAGAGGTGCAGTGCAGAGGAAACAGAGGTGCAGTGCAGAGGAAACAGAGGTGCAGTGCAGAGGAAACAGAGGTGCAGTGCAGAGGAAACAGAGGTGCAGTGCAGAGGAAACAGAGGTGCAGTGCAGAGGAAACAGAGGTGCAGTGCAGAGGAAACAGAGGTGCAGTGCAGAGGAAACAGAGGTGCAGTGCAGAGGAAACAGAGGTGCAGTGCAGAGGAAACAGAGGTGCAGTGCAGAGGAAACAGAGGTGCAGTGCAGAGGAAACAGAGGTGCAGTGCAGAGGAAACAGAGGTGCAGTGCAGAGGAAACAGAGGTGCAGTGCAGAGGAAACAGAGGTGCAGTGCAGAGGAAACAGAGGTGCAGTGCAGAGGAAACAGAGGTGCAGTGCAGAGGAAACAGAGGTGCAGTGCAGAGGAAACAGAGGTGCAGTGCAGAGGAAACAGAGGTGCAGTGCAGAGGAAACAGAGGTGCAGTGCAGAGGAAACAGAGGTGCAGTGCAGAGGAAACAGAGGTGCAGTGCAGAGGAAACAGAGGTGCAGTGCAGAGGAAACAGAGGTGCAGTGCAGAGGAAACAGAGGTGCAGTGCAGAGGAAACAGAGGTGCAGTGCAGAGGAAACAGAGGTGCAGTGCAGAGGAAACAGAGGTGCAGTGCAGAGGAAACAGAGGTGCAGTGCAGAGGAAACAGAGGTGCAGTGCAGAGGAAACAGAGGTGCAGTGCAGAGGAAACAGAGGTGCAGTGCAGAGGAAACAGAGGTGCAGTGCAGAGGAAACAGAGGTGCAGTGCAGAGGAAACAGAGGTGCAGTGCAGTCCTGACATTCTAACAACCCAAACCTCCTCTTCCCTTTGCACCTCGATTTGCAGCGCAGAGGAAACAGAGCTGTACTCGCCGCCTGAAGTGCTGCTGCTGCCACAGAGCATCCCCAGTGCTGGAGGTGCGGGGGAAGGTGCGGGTGCACCTGGAGAAGCAGGGACAGCAGCAGGGGGAGGTGCGACTGGGAAAGGCGCATCTGGGGGAGGTGTTGACTGCACGCGGAACAGCTCCAGCAGCAGCTGCTTCCACGTCAGCAGCCGCATGCACTACGGGTATGTGTGAAATGCACACGTCCATTCACGTGAATGCACACTTCCATTCAGCTACAGCATGTGGAGTGTGGGTTTGCTCACGCCGGAGCTTTGGTTAAGAAAAATGTATGACCTGCTCAAAAGTCTCTCCCACCCTCCGATCCTCCTCCCATCCCTCATTCATTCACCAACCACCAACCTGTGCAGCTACGACATGTGGAGTGTGGGAGTGCTCATGCTGGAGCTCCTCTGCAACATGTATAATGCAGCTTATCAACCCCCCCTGCTTCCCCTTTATCGCCCCGCCCCTCCTCCCCAACCACCGAGCTACGACGTGTGGAGCATGGGAGCGCTCATACCGGAGCTCCTCTGCAGCATGTATGATGCAGATTACCCTCCCACCTTCCGCTCCCCCTCCTTCCCCTTTACCGCCCTGCTCCTCCCCTCCCACTCATTCAGCTACGACATGTGGAGTGTGGGAGTGCTTATGCTGGAGCTTCACTCGAGCATGTGTGGTATAAGTTGTTCTCTTCTATTCATCCCCTCCCCTCCTCCCCTCCTTCCACCCAGCTACGACATGTGGAGTGTGGGAGTGCTAATGCTGGAGCTTCTCTTTGGCTCGCCGCACGTCTGGTCTCTCCCCCCTCGCACCCAGGTATTTCCATATGCGCCTCCAAAGCCCTCGCCTCTCCCCCCTCACACTTGGGTAACGATGGTTTTATATGTGACTCGTAAGGGCCTCCACTGTACCCCTCCATCGCTTCATAAGCTAAGCACTCCTCTCTCCTCTCTCCTTTCTTGCACTAAGTTAAGCCCTTCCCGGATCACACCCTTCTTTTCTGGCCCTCTTCTCGAAATTCTCTTGGCCTGGAAGGCTTTTCTTAGCCCTCTTACCAACACAATCACACACACGGAACTTATTGCCCAAAAACGAGTACAATGCCTCATTATTTCACTCTCCCGCTCTCCCCTTCCCCCCCTATCCCCTTTCTCTCCACCCCATATCCTCCCGCAGGCACTACTGGATCGCTCCCTGCAAGCCGCCCAATGGCCCGAGTCCACCCGGCGAACTGCCTTCCTGTGAGAAACCCAGCTTCCATCCAACTTCCATCTGCCTTTGTGGCCCGATCTGTTTTTTAACGCATCATTTCTGCCCTCAACCCCCTCGTCTCCCCTTACCCGGCCTCCACTCCACAGCTTGTGTGCCTGAAAGATTTTCACTCTCGCCTGTCCACCTCCCTGTTTTTTAAGTAATGCCAAGCCCATGCCTCTTCGTTCCTACCCTCAGTCCCTTGTGCCTCCCCTCGCTCCCCTCTCCCGTCCTCCCCAGTTTGCGCGCGTGGATGGAGCTCTGCATCTTCACGCCTGATCACCTCCCTGTGTTCAATGGCCAGGGGCATACAGGCTTCCCAATACCAGAATATTTTTTTCACCCCCCCAACTCCCCTCACCCACCCATCCCAGTTTGCGCGCGTGGATGGAGCTCTGCATCTTCACGCCTGATCACCTCCCTGTGTTCAATGGCCAGGGGCATACAGGCTTCCCAATACCTCACCCACCCATCCCAGTTTGCGCGCGTGGATGGAGCTCTGCATCTTCACGCCTGATCACCTCCCTGTGTTCAATGGCCAGGGGCATACAGGCTTCCCAATACCAGAATATTTTTTTCACCCCCCCAACTCCCCTCACCCACCCATCCCAGTTTGCACGCGTGGATGGAGCTCTGCATCTTCACGCCTGATCACCTCCCTGTGTTCAATGGCCAGGGGCATACAGGCTTCCCAATACCAGAATATTTTTTTCACCCCCCCAACTCCCCTCACCCACCCATCCCAGTTTGCGCGCGTGGATGGAGCTCTGCATCTTCACGCCTGCCTGTTCTCTTCCCTCTGTGGAAGCTCGGCTCGGTGCTTCAAGGCATATCGAGTGCCTCGTTCCTGCCCCCACTCCCCTTTCCCACCCATCCCAGCTTGCGCGCGTGGATGGAGCTCTGCATCTTCACGCCTGCAGTGTTTGAAGCGGCGCCAAGCGAGGGGGCTTCTGCAGCAGTGGAGGAGGAAGGGCCATCTGCAGCAGCGCAAGAGGAGGAACCGTTTGCAGCAGGGGAAAAGGAGGGGCCGTCTGTAGCACAAAAAAAGGAGGGGACGCCTGTAGCAGGAGAGGATGAGGGGGGGGTGAGGAGGGAGGAGGGTGTGGAGGGCAGAGGAGGCGTGGGGAGCAGGGGTGTGGGTGACTTGCTGAGGCTGCGGCAGCCACATGTGGAGCATGCCCATCCGCAGAAAGAGGAGGGGACAGGTGTAGCAGGAGAGGAGGAGCGGAGAGTGAGGGGCGGGGGTATAGAGGGGAGAGGAGGCGTGAAGAGAAGGGGTGTGGGTGACTTGCTGAGGCTGCACCAGCCGCATGTGGAGCATACGCATCCCCTGGAAATGGCTGTAGCGGGTGCCCATCCACAGGGAGTGGCTGTAGCGGGTGCCCATCCACAGGGAGTGGCTGTAGCGGGTGCCCATCCACAGGGAGTGGCTGTAGCGGGTGCCCATCCACAGGGAGTGGCTGTAGCGGGTGCCCATCCACAGGGAGTGGCTGTAGCGGGTGCCCATCCACAGGGAGTGGCTGTAGCGGGTGCCCATCCACAGGGAGTGGCTGTAGCGGGTGCCCATCCACAGGGAGTGGCTGTAGCGGGTGCCCATCCACAGGGAGTGGCTGTAGCAGGGGGCCATCCACACGAAGGTGTAGTGGGGGTGGCAGAGGCACCAGTCGCGTCTGCCTCTGCTGCCTCCTCCCACGTTCCACATGCCAGCCTATCTGTCACTGCATCCAGCGAGCGTAGACAGGGCAACGACCCGGTGCATGGCAATGGTGCTGGTGGTGCTTCTGGTAGCAGCAGTGGTGCCAGTGACCGTGGAAGCAGCAGCACAGGTAGCAGCAGCAGCGGTGATGGTGGCAGCAGCAGCGGTGCAGGGGGGTGGAGTGTGGTGGCGCCATGGGAGTGCAGTGAAGCAAGCATTGCTGCACAACTGAAGCTAAGGGACCCGCTCAAGAAAGGGTAAGACTGCACGAAACCCATCGCTCTATCTCACAAGGGTTTCTGGTAACCAGCAAGGTCAATTGTGAGTCGATTCGGAAGCTTTTTCAGCACAGCTAAAGCTGAGGGACCCGTTCCAAGGGTAAGACCACACAAGAATCCTCAAATGTATCTTTCAAGCGAATCCAGTTTCCAACACGAGGCTACTATAGTCGATGCCTTCTCGACTAGCTTCCCTTTGGACTGCATAAATCAAATCTTTCCCTTGTTCCCTTGTCTTCACACACTCCTCCTGGTCCTCCCACCGTATACTTGCACCCTCCACTCCATTTCCTTACCCCATGTGCCATTTCCTGTCTCACTGCCGTCTTCCACTCCACTTTGCTTCTCGGGTTGTTCCCTCCACTCGATATGCTTACATTATGTTCTGTGCCACATCCCTATGCCACTTCATTCCACCACTCGGGTTCCTACCTCCTCAGGCTCCCCAGTATTTGGGCCCTGCGACTGCTGAGGCGACTGCTGCAATGGTACCCTGTAAGAGTGATGGAAATGGTGATGTTCCTCCCTCTTTTTTAGTGATCTTTTTTTTTTTGCATAATGGTGTCGCAATGGCCCTTGCATATTTCTTCCTTTTGCTTTTGTATGGTTGCCAGACTGGTCATGGTTGCCACAGCATGAGCATTTGACCGTGTATATTTTGGTTACACCTACTCCTTTGCATCAAATTTCTTAATCAGGGAGACCGGATAACTGCACGCGAGGCTCTGCAGCATGCGTACTTTCGATCAGAAGCACCCCGTACGTAACATTAGCACCATATTGATATTGACAACCTCACAATCTAGCACAAAATAATTTGTTACTTTTGTTTCCTTCTTTCTCATCGTTGCTTGGCAGGAGGATTCAAGTGTCCAACATGTGGGCAAGAGTTTGAGTTTCGTTCGGACTGTCTACAGCATCATCGTTTGCACCATTCACAAACAAAACCTGATTATGTATGCATGTAATTCTAATTTAGCTCATGCGTTGGCATGTTTTCTTATACTTTCCGAACCGCATCGAACCACTCACACCAGTGGGCGGGCGAAAAAGCCGCCGCAAATTGTTTCCGAGGATTTCGAGGCACGTTCGCACAAGACTTCGTTGATTTCGCAACGCTGAACCGCGGTTTGGGAAGCGAGAATTGACGGAATAGTTCTCCAGCTTCCCCCGGTCCCGTCCATGTCGCCCAATGAATTTCCGCTCGACTCCCGCCAGCTAGGGCGCACATTTCGCGCCCCCGATTGGTCGCACCAAACCAAGCCAACCGTGGACCCCTGCGCGCGCCCCCCTCCTTTGCTGGTTCTTCCTTCCGCGTCGGAGGCTGTTTTGATTCGGGTTCTGCTGGTTTGATTCGGGGGATCCGGGGAGGGGGGGAGCGGAGGTACGTCACGGCAGATAGAGGTGATTTTCTTTCCCAAACCAAGCACCCCCGATTTTCCGGAATCCCTGGTTTCCGTTGCCCCAAACCAAACCCACTCGACGCGCTCCGAAACCACTCCCTGAGCAGTCTTCCCCTGAACGCCAGAATCTAGAGACCTATTTAGACTAACGATCGGACTTCATTCAAACAATCTCAGCTCTCTTGCTCTACTTCAATCAGTGGCCCTCTCAGCCTGCTAGTTTCAGTCCTCGGTGCTTCTCAGCCTTTCAGCTCAACGTGACCCGTCAGCCTTCGGTACTTGCTACTTACTAACGCCGACGCGTGTGTCGGTCATATTTTGCTAGTTTCCTCCGACGCTGAAAATAGGTATTTCGCAGTCTTCCCTCGACAGTGTGTGCGCCGCGTCTCTGAGCGGCACGACGAGCGTCGTCGTCGATTCGCGATTCGCTGAGGCGTTCGCCGCGTTCGCCGCTTCGGAGTCGCACTTCTACTACTGCGATTCCTGCGGCGCCTCGAAGAAAATCGACGGCCGATCCCTCTTGGTACGTTAATCGCTAATCCCTCGCGCTCGCTCTACTGCCGTTTGTCCGCGCAAACTTCTTCACCCTCACGTCACATATCCCACTTATTCACTCGCTCATTGTTCCCTTGCCACGCGCTTATCGTTTCCCCTCCGCGCGCTTATCGCCCCCCTTCTCGTGTTGCGCCAACAGTGCGAGCAGTTGGACGCGACCGACCACGTGCGCCGCTCCTCCGCCGCTGGCGCCTCCGCCGCCGCTGGTAGCGCGAACGCGAGCGAGCGTAGGGACAGTGCGATCCGCGCGCTAGCGGAGTCCATTCTCGTCGCGTGCCCCGCGCGCCACTCCTTCGCCTTTTCCTCTTCGGGAGCGGACGCCGCCGCTGACGGTTCCGCCGCCGCCGGTGCCGGCGCTGCTGATGGGGCGTATGGGGACAACCATGGCGGCGCGCGTCGTTCGTCCATGTCATCGTTCTCCTTCCGCCCGCGCGGCTCTTCTTCCTCCTCCTCTGCCTCAGGCGGACGAAGCTCCGCGTCTTCCGCGCGTTCGCGCCGCTCCTCCGTGTCGTCGTTCGCCTTCCCCGCGCTCGCCTCTCTCCCCGCATCCCCGCGACCGTCGGACAGCTCGCTGTTCACTATCGCGGAAGCTCTTACCGAGTCACTGCCGGCCGTCCAAGACCCGGTCTCTCAGACCGCTGTGCCTGCGTCTCCTGCTGACGAGTCACTGCTGGGAGAAACGGACGGGTGTGATCGGGCGTCGGCGGAGGCGAAATCGGCGGCGGACGGCAGTTTGCCGCCTGATCTGAGCGGGTTGAGCAACGGGGAGCTGCTATTGGTCGCGGCGAGCCGCATCGCGCTGCTCACCGAGTCGCTGAGCGAGTCGCGCACGATCAACGAGGAGCTAATGAAGGAGAAGGACGCGGCGCTGTCGCTCCTGATGGACACGCAGCGCAAGCTGACGGAGGAGACGACGCGCGCCGTGCTTTCGATGCCGCGTGTCAGCAGCTCGTGCGATCTCGCCGGGCTGGGCGGTGACGGAGCTTCTGGTGGGCACGTCAGCTCGCCGCCGCCGTCGCCTGCTGCCACGTCGGCGGTTGCCACGTCAGCGACAGCAGGGTCAACGGGGTCAACGCTGACGGGGCAGAAGGGGAAGGTCTACTTGGACGACGACGACGACATGGACTACGACGAATCGGACGACGAATGCGACGTCCCTCGCAAGCCCGTCGCGCCTGTCGCACGGGTCGCACCAGTCGCACGCGTCGCGCCAGTCGCAGCAGAAGCTCAGTCGGCGGGGAGCGAGGAGGCGGAGTATGCGCGGTTTCTTGAGCAGAAGGTCGCGGAGCTGCAGGCGACGCTGTCGCAGGCGGAAGGCGCGCTGGAGTCCGCGCGCGCGGAACGCGAAGCTTTGGCGGAAGGCCAGGAGCGCGCGGTTTCCGCCGCAATCGCGGACGCCGCGGCTTCCGCGGAGCGCGCGCGGGCGCGGGAGGTCGAGCTGATGGTGGCGCTGCGGGAGGTAGAGGGGCAACTCGCGGCGGAGCGCAGGAGCCACGTGGCGGAGGTCGATTCGCTGAAGGAAGAACTAGCCGCGGCGCGTCGGGAGAAGGAGGGGTATGTAACGAGCTTGGAAGCCATGGCTCGGGTGCTGGAGGCACAGCGGGAGGAGCGGGATGTGATTATTACGAGGTTAGAAGCAGAGAAGGCGGAAATGGTGGGTGAGCTGATGGATGTGATTGTAGAGGCCGTGGCTGCAGTGGGCGCTGCGAGTGTAGCTGGTAACCCGGTTACTGCAGCTGCGACGGATGGCTGGAAGGATAGCGCTCCTGTGATGGAGGTCCGTCGCGCTGAGCTGTTGGGATCTGCTGCTGCGCTGGAACCAGTTCTGGCTGACGTGGCAACGGTGAACGAGGCGTCTGCTGACGTGGCATCCATTGCTGCAGTTGCGGCGGTTGGTGACGTGACGGATAGGGAAATTGCGGCAGCTGAGGTGTCCCTGGGGGAGAAATCTGGAGAATCCAGGCAAGAGGCTGCTGTAGATGCTGTCGCTGCTTCTGCTGTTCCCACCGCTGTTACCGCTGCAGTTGCTGCAGTTACTACTGTTACAGCTGTTGCTAGGTCAAGCACCAGCAGGCGCTACAGCACTGCTGCTGCAGACAGCAGGGGCAGGAGCAGGGGAGGGGACAGTGGTGGCAGGAGGGGTGGCAGTGGGAGGGGGAGCAGCAGTGGGAGCGACTACATTGGTGGCAGCAGTAGTGGGCGTGTGAGTGAGGGGGGATGGGGGAAAGGAGGCGATTCAAAAGCAAGGGAGAGTGTTCCAAAGGGCAAGGCACGGGTTTTGAGGGACAGGGATCTCCCTACTCGCAGGCACACGGTTCTCTCATGCTCTCTGCTGCCCTGCTCTCCCCTGCCCTGCCCTTTGCCTCCCTCGCACCTCGACCCCTCCCACTGCCGTGCCTCCCTGCCCTCCCTGCTGCCTGTTGGTCACGAGCTGGTGGAAGGGCGAGGAGGGGAGAGGAGGGGAGGGCGAGGGAGTGAGGAGGGGGGAAGGAGAGGGGTTGTGGGACATCAGACACGGAGGGAGGGGGTGAGAATGGGGCAGGGTGGTGAGGAGGGAGAGGGTTTCGCATGGCAAGCGTTTCGAGCTCTTATTGATGGTGGTGCTATGCCTGGTGACTATAACGAGACTGGTGGGGTGGAGATGAGGAGTGACAGGACGGCAGCTGCTGGGGACTCAATGGGAGGTGATATTGTGACAGGTGACTCTATTGAAGGTGATGCTAGTGAGGTGGATGTGATGCAGAGGAGACGAAGGATGTCGGCCGGGAGGAGGCGGTGGTGGGACCGGGGGGTGATGGAGCGCGTGAGAGCATGGGAGTGGCGTGGGGGGAGGCAGAGGGGAGCTGTGACGGAGGGTGGGAGAGCAGAGGAGGGAGCAGGTGAGAGACCAGTGGAGGAGATGCAGGTGGAGCCAAGGGAGGGGGAGCAGAGGGAGGAGGAGCAGAGGCAAGTGCAAGAGAGGAGGGAGTGGGATACTGTGGTGGAAGAGCGTGGAGAGAGGGAGCAGGGAATGTGGGAGGTGGGTGAGCTTGCTGCAAGGGGGAATTACAGAAGGGGTGCAGATGTGGGAGGAGCAAGTGGTTCTCTTGGGGATGAGGCGTGGAGTGAGCATGCGATTGGGGGAGGAGTGGTGGAGAGGGGGGAAGTGAGTGAGAGGGGGAGATTGATGAGGATGCTTGGTGATGACAAGGAGAATGTGGAGCCTGCAATGGGATTTGGGGTCTAGTGTAGTGTAGGTACAGTATAGGCAAAATGCGCGTCATGTACCGTGGTATGTATTTAATATTTACTCTTCAAATGGCTGTTTGTGATTAGTTTGCGGCTGGTTGAAAAGACACACAGTGGAGGAGTCCTGAAAGTGTGAACGAACATGTTTGATGGCATACTTACAGCAACACCAACTATGGTAAGAGGGGCTAATGGCTGCCTATTTGTAACTGAAGCAAAAATTCAATACACGCCTGCTTTGTGATAACAGCACAGCCTGTAGCAGACCATACGTGTCAGCCCATAAGACATCCACTGGCTATGATGTGGCTACACTTGAGTTTGACGCTTGGTTCCCTTGACTGGTGGAAGGAGCTGCGTTGCTTCCTTGCCTCTTGTCAAGAACAGAGGGAATGACTAACACTGCCAGCAGGGCTGGTGTGGGGAAGGGGCATGGGGTGAATAGGGGGGATGGGGGAGGTTGGCACATGAGCAATGAAGAGCAAATGGGTGAAAAATGAAGGAAGAGGAGTGAAAAGGGAGAAAGGGGGGCAGGCGAGAGTGAGGGGAGTGTGGGCAAGGAGTGAGAGCTTGTGAGAAGTGGGGGGAGGGAGGGAGGGTGAGGGGATAGGTGTACAGATGGGGAAGAGAGACAGTGCAGGATGTGAGAGTGCACGTCTTGTATGTGTGTGAGTGTGTGTGTGTGTGGGTTCGTGTGTGTGTATCTGTGTGTGTGTATCTGTGTGTGTGTGGTCTGTGTGTGTATCTGTGTGTGTGATCTGTGTGTGTATCTGTGTGTGTGTGTGTGAATCTCTGTGTGTGTGTGTGTGTGTGTGTGTGCGTGTGTGTGTGTGTGTGTGTGTGTGTGTGTGTGTGTATCTGTGCATGTGTATGTGTGTCTTTCTGTTTGTGTGTGTGCGCACATGAGCGCCTATCCATGTGAGCGAGTGAAAAGGCATACCCAGGAAGGAAAGCGTGTAAACAGTGATGAAAGAGGACAGGAGTTGAAGTGCAGTCAGTGCCGCCAACACCTGCAACCACGGCAACATAGCACAGAACAAGCAGACGCAAGAATGAATCCATTTTGGTGAACTAGTGAAAGTCACGAGCAAATGGAACTGTGAAATTTAACCATTGCTAACCAGACCTGTCTTCCCTCCCGATGCCCTACCCTAAACGGCCTCTCTGCACCTGCTTTTTTCCCCCAACCCCTCGCCTAACTCTCACCCCTCTCGCCTCCTGAATCCCGACGTGTTTTTTTGAGAATTCTCAAAAAACACTTCAACCTCTCGCCTAAACAGCCTCTCACCCCTCTCGCCTCCTGAATCCCGACTAACAGCTTCTCCTGCAGAGCCGCCACAGAGCCGCACCACACCCCTCGCCCATTGGCGCTTATCAGCTGCCTCCCTCCCTAAGACAACTCTGAACCAACCCCCAACGAACCCCCCAGCGCCACCCACCTTGCCAGCAGCGGCCCAGTCCCTCTCCACTTGCAGCTTCTCCTGCAGAGCGCCCACCGAGCGGCACCACAGCCCTCCCCCCGCATCAGCCCGTATCGGCTCTGCACCTCCCTCCCCTGCACAACCTTCAAACAACCCCGCGTCAACCCCCAACCAACCCCCAGCCAAATTCCCTGCACCACCCACCTTGCCAGCAGCGGTCCAGTCCCTCTCCACTAGCAGCTTCTCCTGCAGAGCAGCTACTGAGCCGTTCCACGTGGCAGCCACCCATTGGCTCGCCTCCACCACTGGCTTCTCAGGAATGCGCCACTCAACAGCCGCCATGTCAGGTAAGGGCAGGCGGAACCTGAGGTACAGAGAGAGAGAGCAGGTGTTGGAGGATAACAGACACATGGGAAAGCAGGGGGTGGGATGGAGACTGCTTTTTGAGTTGACTAGAAATGCGAACCATGTCAGGTAGAGGCAGGCGGAATCTGTGGCTAAACAGAGATGGACAAGAGAGGAGGGAAGGTGGGGGGAGAGGGTGCGGTGGGAAGGGGGGGTAGAAAGGAAAGGGGATATTGCAGGCTGTCAGTAAGGATGAGGTGCAGAGCAGGTGGCACACCTTGGAATTCAGGCTTGATATTAAATGCAGCAGCAGCAGCAGCAGCAGCAGCAGCAGCAGTAGTACCGGCCTATCCCACTCTCTCACCTCTAAAAAAATGGGAGCCACGCGGTGCAGCACAGCAGCATGCAGGAGAAACCCCATGGCAGCAGACGCAGCCAAAGAGAGGACAGCACCGGTGTCCCTTATACCCACACACAGCCCGTACGTGCCCCTCCCTCACCTCTCACCTCTGAGCGCAGGAGCATCCACGCGAGCAGCATGGCTAGGAGGGCCATCTTCGGTTCCTGCCACAACAGCAGGTCCGCCACCACTCCCCCTCCCAGCGCCCTGTGCACGGATGAGTGCTGAGGCACCCAAAAAGGCCACATCAGCAGGTCCGCCATCACGCCCCCTCCCAGCACCTGGAAGACCGCACCACCAACTCCCCTAACCTCCTTCATTTCCCCTGCCTCACCTACCATCCATCCTCCAGTCTCACCTCTTGGCGATGGGAGCAATGCGGTGCAGCACGGCAGCATGCAGGAGGAAGCCCATGGCAGCAGTCGCAGCAAGGGAGAGGACAGGCGTGCCCCCCACCCGCCCAATGGCCCAGCGCAGCACCATCCACGCGAGCAGCATGGCCAGCAGAGACATTTTCGGTTCCTGCCACAACAGCAGGTCCGCCACCATGCCTCGTCCCAGTGCTTTGTGCACAGAGGAGCGTTCTCTAAAAGCTGCCCGCGCTTCTGCTGCCTCGGCTGCCTTCTCCTTCTCATATGTGCTGCGCTGCAGGTGTGGGTAGGACGCTATTGTGCGCTGCAGCCCTTCCTGTACAAGGGGGAAAGGAAAAGGCGGAAGAGCACGTGGGCTTAGAAACGTCACACACACGATATGTTCACTGCAAGAGTTCATGCCACAACAGCAGGTCGGCAACCATCCCTCCTCCCAGTGCTTTGTGAACGGATGAGCGCTCTCGGAAGGGCGCCCCCGCTGCTGCTGCCTCGGCTGCCTTCTCCTTCTCGTAGGCGGTGCGCTGCAGGTGTGGGTACGACGCTATAGTGCGCTGCAACCCTTCCTGTGAAATGGAGCATGGGAAGGGTCAGGGGGAGAAGCACAGCAGGGGAGAGAGTCGACTCATATGTGCTGCCTTCCGCTGCTCCTATGCGCTGCGTTGCAGGTGTGGTAGGCTGCTACAGTGCGCTGCAGGCCTTCCTGTATCGGGTACAGGGAAGAGGGAGGGACACGTGGGGTTCAAAACGTCTCAAATATCATGTACCATGGGCCTTTCAGGCATACGGGAACGAGCAACCACGGCAAACCTAGGACTTCATTCCACAGCTTGCCATACCCTAAACCCCCAAACCCTATACTTCCAAACCCTTAAATCCCTAACACCTCTCCAGTGACTCACATCAACAGAAACGATTGGCTTGTAACCCAGCAGCCTGCCCGCTCGGGCAGGTGAAAAGGTTCTCCAGCGGGTGGCAAGGAGCAGGCGGGCAGGAGTGAAGTCGGAGGGGGGCACACCCAGAGGAGCAAGGGCCTTTGTAACGGCCTCCACTCCCGTTGCAATGGGAATGAGGATGTCTGCTGGGAGCTTGGCCAAGGGCCTGGGAGGGGGTTAGGAGAAAGAGAGGGGAGAAGGAAGAGAGGTAGAGGGATGGGGGTGTCTTTGTAACGGCCTCCACTCCTGTTGCCATGGGAATAAGGATATCGGCTGGGAGCTTGACGATGGGCCTGGGAGGGAGATGGGAAGAAGGAAGAGGGGAGGGGAGGGGGTGGAAGGGGAGAGGCCTTTGGAACGGCCTCCACCCCTGCTGCCATGGGGATTAGGATGTCCGCTGGGAGCTTAAAATGGGCCTGGGAGGGGTTGTGGGGTGTAAACAGCATTTGAGAGTCTTTAGAAAACCCTTGTAACGGCCTCCACCCCTGCTGCCATGGGAATTAGGATGTCCGCTGGGAGATTGGCGATGGGCCTGGGAGGGGTTGTGGGGTGTAAACAGCATTTGAGAGTCTTTATAAAACCCTTGTAACGGCCTCCACTCCTGCTGCCATGGGGATTAGGATGTCTGCTGGGAGCTTGGCGTTGGGCCTGGGAGGGATGAGGATGGAGGCGATAGGAGAGCTTTGAGCTTGAGATGGGTCATTGAAACGACCTCTACGTCCCCAGCCAGTTGATTGAGGACGCCTGCTGGGAACTTGGCATTGGGCCTGGGAGGACCAGGGAGAAATGGAGGGGAGAGAGCAGTGGGCGCGTACTAGTTTGGATGTTTGAGACGTGTGGCAAAGACCATTGACAATAAACAAAGGAGTCATAATTCGGAGTGAACAACTGGAGGACAAGAATTTTGGAAGTAGAAAAATAACATTGACATGTTACGACCAGGCTGCTTACTTGCTGCTGCGGCCAAAGCCTCAAACAATGGCAAAGATAAAATCCCAAACCACTATCGTGTCACCTCTACAATCAGCATCGCCCCAATATATCGCTCCACTTACTTGCTGCTGTAGCCAAAGCCACATGCAACGGCGAAGAGGAAATTTGAGGCACACTTACTACCCCATTCTGATACATCTTACCCACTCACTTGCTGCTGTAACCAAAGCCTCCAGCAATGGCAAAGATGAAGTCCCAGAATCGCCTTGGATCGGCATTGGTGATGAAATACGCCTGCACGAAGATTCCGATGGTATGAAAGCAATGAAAAGTGAGAGTGAGGTGTTAAAATAGGCGAGAGAGCAAGAAAGAGAGAATATAAGCATCCTAAACCCACACTTCATAATTTAGTTTGTGTTGAAGAGGCTGCTAAGATCTATGAAGGTGAGACTCATTTTCCTCCCTCACCGGAGTATTTGTCAGCGTAAGTCAGTTAAGTCATTACTGCTTTCGGCAGGTCTTCACTCTACCAGCATCAACCAAACCGCCATAAGGTCACACCAGGCAACCGACTTGGTTGGTGCTGGCATAATGAAGAGCTGCCAAAAGCAGTAATGCCTTAACAAGCTTAATGCTTTCAAATAACTTTGTGAGAGAAGAAAAAGAGTTTCACCTGTCGTAGAGCTTCGCAGCCTCTTCTACAATGTTTGAGAAGTTGCAGTAAAAGGACAAGCAACAAGGAGTGGGACGGGGAGAGAGACGAGCAGTGGGTGGGATGGGGAGTGGGATGGGGAGTGGGATGGGGAGGGGGATGGGGAGTGGGGCAGGGAGGGAGACGGGAGAGGGGGACGGGGAGTGGGAGGGGGAGTGGGAGGGGGAGCGGAACCATACCTTGCCAGCTGGCGAGTCGTCACTGGTGGGGTAGCCCTTGTACTCGCTAAGAGCCTTCTCAGCACAGATGTGAGCGTGCACCACGTTCTCCACGTACGTCCAATCCGACACGTTCTCCCCATCGCCCACTATGAACTGCAGGTGGGGGATGGAAGAGTGAGGCAAGGAGGGGGGAGGGAGGGGGAAAGCGTAGGGCGAAAAAAGGGAGATGGAGTGACTTGGGTGGGAGGGGCATGGGAGGGAAGCGACACAGATATGAGCGTGCACCACGCTCTCAACATACGTCCAATCCGACATGTTCTACCCATCGCCCGCTGTGAACTGGAAGGCAGGGAGGAGTGAGGTGGGGAGGAAGAAATGGGTTGTAGGGAAAAACAAGAACCATGGGAGAAACACGACTACATGTGTAGGCGTTCCCCCCATCGCCCACTGTGAACTGCAGGGAAGGAAGGAGTGAGGTGGGGAGGTTAAGGGACGTGAGAGAAACACGACTGTATGTATTAGCTTTCTCCCATCGCCCTCTGCGAACTGCAGGGCAGGGAGAAAGGGTGCGGGTGGGTGTACGGCAGATAGGGATACCAATGCATAGTTCCCACCTCACTCCTCCCGACCACACAGACACGTACACAACACACCCCCATAGAAGCAAAATCCCTTCGTCCCACCACACGCACCTTGAGCTTGCCCCTCTGAGCGTTCTTGATAGTGATAGGCACAAGATCAGGGTCACCGGGTCCAAAGATGTTGCTGGGGCGCAGGGCGCACGTCAGCAGCCCTCTTTACCCCCTTCTACAATTCTGCAAGTCCCCTCTCCCCGCCACCCTTCCCCGCCACCCTTCCCCGCCACCCTCTCCCCGCCACCCTCTCCCCGCCACCCTCTCCCCGCCACCCTTCCCCGCCACCCTTCCCCGCCACCCTTCCCCGCCACCCTTCCCCGCCACCCTTCCCCGCCACCCTTCCCCGCCCCAAACACACCCACACACGCACCTTGAGCTGGTTTTTGAGAATGGTTTTTGAGAATTCTCAAAAACCACCCTTCCCCGCCCCAAACACACCCACACACGCACCTTGAGTTTGCCATTCTGAGCGTTCTTGATGGTGATGGGGACGAGATCAGGGTCACCAGGTCCAAAGATGTTGCTGGGACGCAGGGCGCACGTCAGCAGCCCTCCTTGCCCTCTCCCACAGACCAACACTCCCCTCTGCCCACCCACACACGCAACTTGAGTTTGCCATTTTGTGCGTTCTTGATGGTGATGGGCACAAGATCAGGGTCGCACCCGGGCCAAAGATGTTGGTCCGCAGGGCCCTCGCCCACAGACGCACCAGGGCGCAGGGCGCACGTCAGCAGCCCCCCCTGGCCCTCCCCCGCAGACGCACATCCCTTTCCCCCACCCTCCCCCCACACACACCCACGCGCGCACCTTGAGTTTGCCATTTTGAGCGTTCTTGATGGTGATGGGTACCAGATCAGGGTCGCCAGGGCCAAAGATGTTGCTGGGGCGCAGGGCGCACGTCAGTAGCCCTCCCTGGCCGTTCGCAGCGAGGGCTATCGCCTCTGCCTGCGCCTTGGTCTCCCCATACGCGTTAGTAGCCTGGAGATTGGTTGGAAACGGGGACGGGCGAAGAGTGGAAGGGCGAGAAGAGCACAAAGCAACGCACAGGATTAAAAGGCAACGCACATGCAGCGTCCCACCACCGACGGCCAGAGAGGCTACTGACATGACAGGGAGGGAGGGAGGGGAGGGAGGGGTGGGGGACTGCCAACATAGTAGCACTGATTTGCACAAACCTCTCAGGCATACAACAGCCATTTGACCTCGAGATAGATGTCATGATTAGCAGAACACAAGTTCTTTGAACAATTTCTGTGTGTAAAGGTTCCTTGACAGGAATGGCAGCAACTCATACCCGCCCTTGTTCTCCTGCCCTGTGAAACCCGAGCTTTTGACACATATTTGTAGCCACTCTTCAGGTTTTGTAAGGGAAATCTCTCTGTGTAAAGATTCAAGATTCAAGGATCAGATGCGCACCTTGCCAGCATACGGCAGCGACTCATCCCCGTTCTTGATGTCGTGCCGCCCATCGAACACAACACTGGCTGAGCTGGTGAAGATGAGACGACGCACGCCCGCCTCCTGGCACGCCGCAATCACGTTCTTCGTGCCTGGCAGGCGGAGTGGAGAAGAGGGCGAGGGAGGTTCTTGGATAAGCGATGTACAGTTTTGGAGCAAAAAACAGAAAGTTCAGTTGATACACTACAACAAAGCATGAATAGAAGTGTGTGAACAACCGAAAGTTAGACCATCCCACCTGGTGCATGGGTGCGTACCAGATCAGAGCCATAATCAGATGCACAAACCAGGATTAGCAAGATGCGTACCGAGCACGTTGACAGTGTAGTGGGGAGCGAGATCCGTGAGAGCGTGGTTGGGCGACGCCATGTGAAACACCGCAGACGCGCCCTGGAAAGCTGCGCGCCCATTCATTCATTCAGTCATTCATTCATTCATTCATTCCAGGACAGGCGACACAGGAGAAACTTTTGAATAAAGGAGCAGTACTGGACACGGATGCGAAGGTACTTTCAAAACTCTCCAGAAAGAAGCAGCGATAATCTATGCGAGTAGCGAGAGGTCAAAGGCCAAAGACCTTTGGCCAAAGGCCAGAGGTGCGTCAGTTTTCGAGTCTGGCACGCGGGGTAACATCCGATACAAAGGCCTTTGTTGTTTCCTTATTCCGCTGTTCATCCTCCTCATCACACGTTCAGGCTGACGGATACGAGAGATTATCTAAGGTCCACGAGACTTTTTTCGCAAACCGTCCAACTGCTCCCTCCCACACCGTCCAACCTGTATTTACTAACCGTCCGATCAGACACATTTGCGACACTGACCGTCCAATCGCGCACATATATCACCAGCAATCCACGCCGACCACCCTCTTATAACTACACGATCGGACACATTTGCGACGCTGAAAGTCCAATCGCGCTCACCGTTAACCATGGCCGTCCGATCGCAGACATTCCCGGAGATGTACTCGAGCTGACCGCTGCGCGCCGAGTCACGCACGATCCCGGTCTCGCCCTCGCCGTTGGCCTCGTCGTCCGTGAGCCGGAGCTCGGGCGCCATGTCCACCACTCGCACTCCCCCGCTTTCCCCCCACGTCCACCACTCGCACCGTCGAATCTGAGTTGACTTCTTAGTCGACTCAAAATCGACCATCTCCACCACTCGCACTCTCCCGCTTTCCCCCTCCCCCCTTTTTCCCCTCCCCCCCCTTCCCCCCTCCCCCCCTTCCCCCCTGTAGTAACCACCCGATCGGACACATTTGCGACATTGACTGTCGCACTGACCGTCCGATCGCACTCACCTTTGACCATGGCCGTCCGATCGCAGACATTCCCGGAGATGTACTCGAGCTGACCGCTGCGCGCCGAGTCACGCACGATCCCGGCCTCGCCCTCGCCGTTGGCCTCGTCGTCCGTGAGCCGGAGCTCGGACGCCATGTCCACCACTCGCACCGTGCTCCATTCGCCCGTCGCTAACAGCTTGCGAACCAGCCAGCGACCGACGAAACCGCGACCCCCGGTTACCACACACACCTGGCGAAGGGGTTACGGGGAGAGAGTTTTTGCGAGGGAAGTTCCGAGGAAGAAGTGGAAAAGGACGTTGCACGGCTGTATTAGGGCTGGAGCTCGAAGAGTGCGATAGTAGCTACAAGGGCGTGAAGATGCGACGATTAACAGGCCTTCATGCGCCAGCGAGAAAGGGGAAGAGAATCTGAAACAGATCTATGCGCATGTAATACTGCATGATGAATGACTCCTGCTGACACGGCGATCCGGATTCGGATATCAATACGCACCTGGCCAGCCATCGCTGTATACCAATGGCCTCAGTTAAACAACAGAGTGTGACCGATGACGACGACGCCCGTATTACCAAGGAGGAAACGGAATGGAATACGGTACTCCCTACTGGAAACTAGATCGAGTTGCTTTCTTGCTGATGTTATCTGGGCTGGAGTTCACCTACAAATTTACGAGTGTGGATGGGACTCCCGAGATTCAGGAAAATCCTGCCAGATGGTGCCCAAGTCTGCGGAGTTCTCGAGGTGACAAATGCATCACGGGGAAGAACCCGTTGATTGGTGAGCGGTTTCGTGTATTCTCGCTACATCGACACCGATATTGGAATTGTAGCAGACATCGACGTGTAGCATAATCATAACAGATTATCAGCAGATCTAATATTCTCAGCAGATATAGAACTGATAATGCATTTGATGTTTCATATTATTAATTATCCACGGACAAGAACTATCGATAGTGTGCTTAGTTTGTATTGGTGAAAAGATGTTTCCACATGGTGATCGTTGAGTGGTTCTTTTTGGCTCACGTGCAATCAAGGCGAATGAAGATTCGTCCATGCTTGTGCAGGCCAACGCAATACTCAAAACTGCGTGCGTGGCAGTCCCGCATTCGCTCGAAATCCTCTTGCCCTCTCATGGTTCCTCAAGAACGTTCTTCGCGCCTGGGCTGCCTCATTGCCCAATGAAGGACAAGCTTCCAGCGAGCCGCATCAAGACGCTCCACATGTGTCACCCATTTTTTTTCTCGACTTCCAGACTTTTCCTGCCCGTCAAGCGCTTGGTGTAAGTACTAAAAGATTCTACATCCACATTTTCAACGCCACGCGTTTGGTCATTACATGACATTGGTTTGCAAAAGCGAAAGCCGGAAAGGTTAGCGGGAATTTCCGCAATCTAGAAATTCCCTGAACTGGGCGCATCTCACTTCATATTTGGAACGCAACCACCCAAAACTCGAAAGTTGTAACGATGGCAGGCACCACGGCTTCCCCTCCGTTGGTGGTTGTGGGGAACTCGAGCACTAGAGGCGACAGGACCAGACCAGGGAACAACATAAATAGACGGCTTTATTCTCCAGAAGGCTATCAGGCACCGTGCTTACACAATCTTACACATCCCTCTCCGACCTCCCTTCGTGTGCATACACCACATAACGCGTTGCCTGATCCTACACCCCTGACTGCTTCCAGTCTTCACTGCTGCTCTCAGTTGAGTCAGCGAAGCAACAGCTCTCCGTCAGGCCCTTGTAAATACCACGACGCTCCGTGGCTGTAAATATCGCCATCGCTCATACATTCGACTCAAATCTCGAGTCTCAGTCCATTCCTGTATAAATGGCTCCTCCCATGGGAGACGCGTCCGGCCCTACAGCCATGCTCATGCCTGACGTCAGCAGCGGGAGCCTCTTCATCCACCCGTCGGATTTCCATCACGGAAGCATCGATGGCCCCGCAGCCGTCGATTCTCTCCGCCAGGCTTTTTTCACCGCTCAGCTCGACCGCGCCATCCTCGATAAGACATTCTCCGACAAGACCACTGCTGTTGTCACCGAGCCGGCGAGTTACGAAGAAGGCTACGTGTACGACCCCACGGCGCCGATTCCGGCGGATGCGACGGACGTGGTGTTGGTGCGGCACGGCGAGACGTTTTGGAACCACGACCACCGCCTGCAGGGCCAGCTCGACACGGAACTCAACGCCGCCGGCCTCGCGCAAGCTCAGGCTGTACGTTTCATCGTCGCCCCCCTGGTGCTTTCTGTTCTTGCACAGGAGTTTCCGTACAGCACTTTCCTACGATGCTTTCTCTCTGAAGTATCTTAACTGTTTTCTAAAAATGGATTGTGCACACTTACATTCTTATAACGCGCGTGCGCAGGTCGCGGCGCGCTTCGCCACGTGGGAGTTTCCCTTCTGCGCCATCTACGCGTCGGACCTGCGACGCGCCGCGGACACCGCGCAGGCCATTGCGGACCGCGCGGGATTCCCGGGAATTGTGAAGGACGCGGGTCTGCGCGAGCGCCACATCGGACACCTTCAGGGCTGCCTGGCTCACGAGGCGCCTTTCAAACAGCCGGAGGCGTTCAATGCGTTCCAGTCGTCGGACCCCACCGTCACCATTCCGGTAAGCGCCTTATGAAGAGTCTTTGAGCTCGAACACCCAAAGGCGTTTAAGGCGTTTCAGTTACCGCATGCTAATGTCGCATTCCCGTGGCGCCATTCGCCAGTGCTCGGGTTCGCATTCTCGGGGTCGCAATCCCGCGCCAACTCGATACTTATTTCGTCTCTCCCCTGCCTTCGTTTCTTCGTCTCGTCGGTTTCAGGGAGGCGGGGAGAGCATGGCTCAGCTGGTCGAGCGGACGAGCAAGACCGTGGAGAAGATCGCACGCCGTCACCGCGGTGAGCGAAGCAAGACGTAGTATGCATATAGCGGAACACAACGGAACAAAACGGAACACACCGGAATACCTAATGAACAACGGACCCTCTACCCTGCCCCCATATCTTGAAAATCAGGTCGCTGTTCCTATCTTCCAGACCTTCATTCCCTCCCGCTCTAATTGTCTTTCGTACTCAAATCTGTGCCCCACACACAACCCCTGACCTGCTCTCTGTACCGTCCATAATTTCAGGGAAGCGTGTGGTCGTTGTTTGCCATGGTGCCGTGATGATGGCGCTGCATCGCCACGCGTTGGGGCATGACTCGTCCATGGGGGTCATCAACGCGTCGATCAATGTCGTCCGCCTGTCTGTTGATCACACGTGGCGTGTCCTCCACTGGGGCGATGTGAAGCATCTCGATGGCATGGAATTCGACCATGACGGCTTCGGCGGTGGCAAAGACTCCGCTTGAGACTTGTAACGAAGATAATCTGTACAGGGGGGAAGTTTACTCTGGCAGATCATGAAGAGGAGAGAATGTGGATAATGTAGATAACGTGATACTTCCAGTATCAGTCTACCACAGAGAAACAGGTACCGTATTACCAAAGGAGTGTCAGAGGATGATATACCGATTGATGACAATCTGCCATAATTCCATAGCACTATGACTCCAGAACAAGACAAACCACCTGCTGAAATCTGCTCCAACCCAACCCGTCAACGGGTGTGAGAGAGGAAACTGAAATCAGCCCTACTGGCCTGCCCCAAGTGCCTGGACTGGCTGCCATATTTATGTGACACGCTTACATATGGCATCGCCCTAATCAGATCATTCTACCATAGTGACTACTACCAATATCACCCTATAGCAAGAATAAACACCTGCCAAACTACCGTAGCTCCAGCCCTCAAGGTGTGAGGGCGGGATCCTATCTCCAGCTAATATGTCATACCGCACCCTTCTCTACATGCCTTCTGGCCAAAGCTCAATAGCTTAAAACTGTAAATAATACTAAGCCAATGCGAAGTGTACTACGCCGACGCAAAGTGAAGGTCCGGGGGCAGCTCCACACCCAAATCCAGATCGTCTAGAAACATGCTGAAATCCTCCAACCCCTGCTGCTGCACTCCCCTCTCCTGCCCCTGCCCCTGCTGGTCCAGCTGAAGTGTGAGAAAGGGGGAGAGAGAGGCACAGGGGAATAGTTTGAGTGTGAGAGTGTGTGCGCATGCGTGTGTGCGTGCAGGTAGGGACAGGCCGGGGGGTGTATGAGGGTGAGTGTGGAGGCGTGCGGGTGTGAGCGTGGACGGGTGCGGGGGTGAGTGTGGAGGAATGTGAGGGTGAGTGTGGAGGAATGCGAGGGTGAGTGTGGAGGGGTGCATGTGAGTGGGCATGTCGTGTGCGCATGGCAGGCAAAGGAAGAAAAGGACGTCATGTGGAGCGCTCACCTCAAAACCACCAGTGGAGAGAGTCGGCTGGGCAGCAGTAGTGACACCCTCACGAGGAGTTGGGAGAGCAGAGCCCCCCCCTGGGCCCCACATATCAACGTCCCCCACCTCCATCATCAGCAGATCCGCCCCTCCCACCTGCAAACTTTCCCCTCCCCTTCCCTCTACACCACCCCCTCCTACCACTTCTCTTCCATCCCCTGCTCCTCCTCCCCCGCCCCCTCCCCCTCTCCCTCCCCCGTCGCCTCCCCCTCCCCCTCCCGCCCGTCCTAGTCTGGTTGGACTGGTCAAACCAATGCTTCTGTCCCAAGTGCTGCCAGGTGTCGACCCGTGATTGGCCAGTAAAGCGGCTGTAGAATGGCCTGTGCCTTGACTCTGTGACAGCACACCTGGTTTCACATCAGCTGCGGGTGACAACGAGTTGCCCAAGTGATTGCCGCCCGAGTTGTGACTGCCGCCCAAATGGTTGCCACCCAAATGGTTGCCGCCCAAATGGTTGCCGCCCAAATGGTTGCCACCCAAATGGTTGCCGCCCAGGTGGCTGTTTATTTGAGCTCCATTTTGTCTTGTATCAAGCCCTGTGCTCCACCCTCCCATATCTTCCACCTTCCACACCCCTCCTCTCCCACCACCGCTTCCTATTTGCCCATCCACCGCCCCCCCTACCCCTCTCATCCCCGCCTCATTCCCAACACCTCCAGCCAGATTCCCTCCCATTCCTCTCCCCACACCTCTCACCCCTCCTCCTTCTACCCCTGCTGCTGTGCCTGCACCACCAATCATTCGGTCTATCCCATCCGACCCACCACTATCACTACCATCACTTCCATCCTCCTCTTCATCCTCATCCTCCCCATCCTCCTCCTCATCCTCCTCCCCTCCAACCCCCCCTCTCTTCGAATTCAGAGCCTTCCTCCGTTCGGCAACCTCAACCTTCAGCCGATCCAGCAAGGCTTTCCGAGCCTGCGCCGAGCCTGCTGCCATCTCGTTCAGCTTCCGCTGCAGCAGCGCCTGAACCTGCTTCTCAGCTTCGGACGGATCACTAACCTTCAAAGGCCGCTTTACCCCTCCTGCTGCCCCCGCTGCTCCTCCTGCTCCTGCTCCTCCTTCTCCTGTCGCTCCCATTTCTGTTGTTCCAGCTGCTACCGGTGCCGCCACACCAGCAGCAACACCGACAGTAGCAGCGGCAGCAGCACCAGCGGCAGCCCTACCAGAAACATCAGCAACAGCAGCGGCACTACTGCCACCCATGCCCCCAGCCCTTTCATCAGCAGAACCTTCCCCAGCTGCACCTTCCCCAGCAGAGCCTGCCTCAGCTGAATCCAGCTCCATTCTAAGCCGCGCGGCCAGAGCTGCTGCCCCCGCCTGCTTCCCCAGCAACTTGATTATCCCGTCCAAACCACCAGCTGCTGCCCCTCCTCCTGCTCTCCCCCCACTTGCTCCTCCTCCACCTCCTCCTCCTCCTCCTCCTCCTCTCCCACCACCGTCGCTACTGCTTCCCACTCCCCCTGCTCCTCCTCCCCTTCCTGTCCCTTCTATAGCTCCAGAACCACCCACACCAGTTCTACCTACCCCAGAAGAACCGGCCTGGGACTCTTTCTGAGCCCTCTTGGTGATCTGAGTGGCCAGCACATGCACCTCAGGAGCCGTTAGATCGCCGCCGGCCATCATCTGCCCTAGGATAGCCAGTGCCATAGCCTCTTTCGAAGGTGCGGGAGCAGGCTCGGACGCACCTTCCGAGCCTCCTGCTGCCGACGAACTGGGCTGACTGGGCTGACCGAAGCTAGCTTCCTTGCCGAAGCTAGCTGCGTTACCGAAGCTAGCTGACTTGTCGAGGCTAGATGTCTTGCCGAGGCTGGTTGAAGCACCCGCCGTAGCTGCACTCGCTGCCGGACCTCCAGACATGGAAACAGCGGCGGATGAAGGCTCTGCCCGCCGAGCCATCACTCCCGGTCCCGGACCTAAGGACGAGCTTCGGTTGAGTGGGGTACCGAGCCTGCTTCCAGGCCCGCGAAGAAGACCCGGCGTTGGATCTGCCAAGCCAGGTGGTGCAAATACAGCAGGGGAAGCAGACGCAGTACTCGCAGCACCACCGCCAGCAGCAGCAAGACCAGCAGCAGCAGCACCACCACCAGCAGCACCAACACTAGCAGTGGCACCACCAATACCAGCACCAGCACCAACAGCAGCAGCAGCACCAGGGGACCTAGCATCGAGATCAAAGTCAGGAAATGATTCCCGGCTGAGCCTCCTGTGCAGCTCTGGTGTTGCACGCCTCTTCCTCAGAGGGCCCTGCTGTGCCAACGACCCCCCACCTCCACCGCCTCCCCCTCCTGCTCCCCCAAACGCACCTAGTGTGGGTGATTGTATCGAAGGAGATAGTAACGCAGCGGATAGAATTGCATCCAGCCTATCCCCAGCACTAGTCACCTCCATGGGCGCCCGTGGGGAGTCCACCGCTTTGGACCCACTCCCACCGGGCGAAACCAGCCCACCAGCCGTCCCACCAGCAGACACACCAACAGACGCACCAGCAGAGCCACCAGCAGACGCACCAGCAGGAGCACCTGAGAATTCACCTGAGGAGCCCCGGCTCATGGCAGCGCGGGAGAGCTTGACAGCAGCAGCCACAGAGGGGTCATTGAATTCTGCCTGCCTCGCCAGCTTGCGAAACTGCTCCTCTGCTCGCCTCCTCTCCTCCTCCGATGTCGAAAACGTTGCGAACGCCGCCCCAAGATTCTGTTTCTGTGTCGAGTCGAAGGGAGCAAAGGCGGCTTCTAAACTTTGCAGCCCACCTGACCCGAAGCTGCCTTGCCTTCTGGTAGGTGCTGCTTGCGCTGACCCTGCTGCTCCTGCCGCTCCTCCTCCTGCTGCTCCTGCTGGTGCTCGTTCCTCCCCACTGGCAGCACCAGCACAAGTATCCCCTCCTGTTGCACCCTGTCCCTGCCCATCCGCTGCTCCTGACCCCTGCCTTGAAATCCCTGCACCACCCGCACCGGCACCACCACCGGCAGCGGCAGCAGCACCAACACCACCAGCAGAAGCACCATCCCCTACCATCCCCTCCCCTGAACTCGCCTCTCTCGCACTCCCCCCCCGCCACCCTACCGACTCTGCCGCACCGCTCCCCCCACTCAACCCAGCACATTCCATCTCCTCCGCCCCTCCACTGTCCTCCTCCAGAGGTCGTTTCAAGCTGCCACTGCCACCACCCCCACACAACCTTTCCCTCGCACCACTCCCACCCCCCACAGCACCAGCGCCTCCCCCGGCTCCCCCACTCTCCCCCCCGCTTCCCCAGCTCATGCGGGAGCGGGGAGAGGAGGCCGCACTAGTGGTGGTGTTGGTGTTTGTGTTGGTGGTGTTGGTATTGATGTTGGTGTTGGTGGTGGTGTGTGTGGGGCTGCTGCTGCTGTGGTGAGGGCGGGGGGAGCCATAGGGGGAAGGGCCAAATTGAGAGCCAGAGGACCCGCGAGATGCTTGGATTCGAAGGCTCTGCTGCCCTGACTGCTGTTGCTGCCCTAAGCGTTGCTGCTCTGGCTGCTGCTGCAGCATCCGCACAGGTCCTCCTGCTGATGCAGTGCGGACCATATCCGTTGCAGATTGCACCATCCCACTCTGCCTCCCCTCTCCCCCGCCTCCCCACCCTCCCCTTCCCCCTCCGCCTGGTTCTACCCCTGCTCCTCCTCCCTTTGTCAAAACAGCTAGAACATCGGCTGCTGACAAAGAATGCGAGCGCCCGCCAGGTGTCAGCTTGCGATTGGCTGGTAACTGAGAGCCTGCCATAGGTACGGCAGCAGCAGCTCTGGAAGCAGTAGGTGGAATAGCATGTTCAGTTGCCGAATCTGACGGGGAGCCCAGGATGGACAGCTTCGCCAAGGCTCGCTGCGTGGTCCGGTTGGGAGAATCAGATCTAGGCGGATCAAATCTAAGAGGAACCGGTCTCGAATTTTGGCTTAATCTAGACGAATGGGCTTGGGCGGCGGAGGGGGGATGGCGGGAGGAGGGATGGGGAGAGGAGGCGATGGAATGGGAAGGAGAGGCGGTGGGAGCATGGGAGGATGGGGAGGAGGGATGCGGCGGGAGGTGGGAGGGTGGCATGGGGAGGGGTTTGGCGATGCTTGCTGGTGTGGTGGAGGTTTCTGGAATGAAATCCGGGAGGAAGACTCCAGGAATCTTCTGCAGTTGCTCGAATTTCTCCTTGAGACCCTGTGAAATGCTCGGGTCCTCCTTTATCTGTGGTGGGGAAAGATAGAGGGGGAAGGGGGTGGGGAGGGGAGGGGAGGGGAGCGGAGAGGAGGGGAGAGGAGGAAAGAAGTAGGGTTTACTCCATGAGTTGAGAGAATATCATGTTGCGATGTGAGAGATCCGAGAAGATTTGCAGGGATGCGACAGGATGGGAAAGGATGGAAAGCGGTGGGAAGGTATGGGAAGGGATGGGGACGCACCAGGAGCACAGAGCCGAGCTGAACAGCCCCGCCAGGGACGGGGATTATGGCAATAGTCTGCATGTAGGGGGCCCAGCACACGTGGAGGAGGAAAGGGGAGAGACAGATAGAGAGATATTAGAGAGAGTGAGTGATACGAGGGCATGAGACATGAGAGAGAGCAAGGAAAGGAAATCAAGCGATGTGAAACGGAACGGAGCGATGTGAAAGGGGACATAAGCAGGGAGAGCAGCTAAGCTAACTGACCTTGATTCCAGAAGCGAAGTGCTCCGCCCAGCCAGGTGGATGCTGATTGTGGGAGAGAGGGAGGAAGAGCGAGGGAGAGAGAGAAAGAGAGTGATGTAAAGAGAGGAAGAGAGAGGAGAGAGGCATGGGTGACATTAAGAAAACGTGTGGAAAAGGGTGTTGGGAGGAAGATGTGGCAAACGCAGGCGGGAGGGAGAAAGGGAAACAATCGGGAAAGGTGGAGGAAGGGGTGGTGGGATTGGAAGGCATTGAACAGCACAGCGCAACAAAGATGCGCATGCGAGACTGGCAAAACCGAACTCCTGATGCCACACTCACTCACACACACATAGACAAACACTCACTCACTCACTCACACGCCCTCACTCACACACACCTGGCTCTGCATGGAGTTGAGAGTATCCGCATGGTACTTGGCATGGCTGCACACCCACTCTGCTGCTTGTGGTGCCACACTCATTCATACTCGCACACAACACGCACTTGCTCACTCCCTCACACCCTCACTCACTCCCTCACACCCTCACACACACACAAACACACCTGGCTCTGCACGGAGTTGAGTGTGTCAGCGTGGTACTTGGCGTGGCTGTACACCCACTCGGCTGCCTCCGATGCCACACTCACGCCCACCAGCCTGGGGGAGAGAAAAGGAGAGAGTGAGAGAAGGGTGAGGGAGCGAAGGGAAGGAAGTGGAAAGAGGTGACTTTTGAGTCGACTCAAAAGTCATGAAAGAAGTAACCAAGGCCACACTTGGGGCAGACGAAGTCTGACACCACTATTCCCAACTAGCTCGGCTCCAGACGGAACATTAGAAACCGAAACCCGCTGCAAGCCCGCCCGTCATTGAAAGCGTAACCCGTCCCCGCCCTTCGCCATAACAAAGGAGCACAGCTACTTCCAATCATACCAGACCACTTCTAAACGAGCGTTCAATCCATGAGTCTCGACCAAAAATCGCCATGATATCAACCTAGCTGGCGAGCTTGTTGAGGTGAGCCGCGCGTGAGCAGCTGCTTCCAGTCGAAGCAGAGTTCCTTTGAACAAACGCCAACGTCCCTTAGTCCCCAGAACCAATGCCCCCAACCTCAGAATTCCAGGTTCCATACGTAGCAGCCCAGCCCTGTGTTTGTCGCTACATGTCTGGTACCAGACCTGTGGACCGGCCCTGTGGACCAGACCTGTGGACCGGCCCGACCAGACCTGTGGACCAGCCCTGTGGACCAGCCCTGGTACCGGAACTACTAGATCCGGATTTGGCGGAGGTGCTCCAATCCAACTATGTGGCGTGCAGTGCCGCTGTTTCCAGTCGCAACACAGCTCCTCCAAACGAACGAACAAACATGAAAACCCTAAAATCTCTGCAACCCAAGCCCCGAACTAAACCCATAACCCCCTTCGCAGCAAGCATACCCTTCGCCGTAGTTATAGATCTGGTACGAGAACTTCAGATACGTGGCGTGCAGCTGCTTCCAGTCATAACAGAGCTCGTCTAAAGCGGGTACAGCGTCCGCCTGACGGCTGCTGCTGCCGCCCGCGCCCCCACTAGAAGCCGAATTGCGCAACCGTGCCATCTGGTCCTCCAGCTTCTTGAGCACGGCATGAGGGACCAGGTAGCCGTCCTCCCACATGAGCACCCTGCGAAATGCGAGGGGGATGGGAGGGGGGGACACGGGGGGGAGACAATGGTGGGAGGGGGAGGAGGCAAGCTACCGTGCCATCTGGTCCTCCGCTTCTTGAGCACGGCGTGCGGGACCAGATCCCCGTCCTCCCACATCAGCACCCTGTGGATTGTGGATTAGTCGGATGGGAGGGGGGGGAACATAGGGGGGGAATGGGGGGGGATGTAAGCCACAGTCCTGCTTCCTAAGGACCGCGTGAGGGACCAAATACCCATCCTCCCACATGCGCACCCTGTGGGGTAGCGGAGGGTGGAGGGGGATGGGAGGGGTTGACATGGAATGGATGGGGAGACATGGAAGTGGGGAACACGGGTGGGAGGGAGAGGGGAACGAGCCATCTGGTCCTGCTGAGTCCGAAGTCGACGCAAAAGGCCCTGGTTGAGACCTTCGCGTGTCAACGAGATCAACCGAGATGAAGAACCGAGGTGAAACAAGAGATGATCGCAAATGTGGGGAAACATAACAGGCAGGCATGACGCCGGCATTTCAGGCGCCTTAAAGAGAGACGTGAAACAGTCAAGGGCTTCGGTTCCAGATACTGGACCTTTTGAGGCGCCTCCTTGGTCGTTCAGTGATTAAATCAAAGTGATCAATCCTTGAGGAGGAAGTGGAGGAGACAGCTTACCAGTTATCGTCGTCCTCACGTTTCATCATGCGGTTTCCCCGTATTGGTACATTTCTGCGCGAACGAACGAAAGCAGGACACAAGCCAGCAAAACGAACGAGGAAATGAACGACTAATTCAGGCTTCACGGCGCGAAGGACGCTATGCGAGTAGCGACGCGCTGCGAGAAAGGAAACGGCGAACTACGCTTTATTTTCTGCATTGAACGCGCAGGTGGCGAGTGCTAAACTCTTCGCGATCCCGATTCGACAAACATGACTTTTATAACGACATATGGATTAACAGGACTTTGCAGGGGTTACGTTTGCGACGTTCGCGGAACCGCGCGACGCTTCAGTCTCCAGAAGACGGAGTACGTCCATCCGTTCTGCAGGCACAGGTCCTTGAGCACCTGTCGCAGCAGGTACATGGGCCTCTGCGCGAGCACGGCGCTCGGAACCTGTCTAGGGTTTGTCGCCATTGCTGTGTTGTCGTCAAACCCTAGGTGTTATAAATAAATTAAATAGCAAGGAAAATTACAGCGAGCTGAAACTGCTCGTCTACAACAGAACAACCCTAAATATACAACTGTTGCGTGGCAGTGCCATCGTAAGAAAACACTCGTCGGGAAAAACTCCGGAGAAGTTTCAAACCTCTGACATACAGCTAACCGGGAAGCAATAGAATCGTGGAACCCGGGAACCGAGGAGGAACCTATGAAGGACGTGTCAGATCAGCTCTATCTAGAAGCTTTCGAGGTATGGCGTATGGCACTGTTGACAGCAAGGTAAAACGGATTGTGATTGAATGAAAGCTGGGATGGGCTTCCCTTGGGAATGCCAGAACGGGAGTCTAGGGGTAGGGAATTGATTGACGAAATCGCAAGTCCGTTTTGCGAATCCACGAAACGGTTGCGAATACCTGAAGCCCCCTCGAATGCGTCAGGCTCTGCCTGATCTTGTGCAATTTCCCTCGGTCCTTGGGTTTCTGCACACCACCGAGCCAAACAGCGGTCGCCTCTGTGGCTGAGACTGCTTGAAGCCTCGGCGAACAATGCGTTCCTCATGTGGTAACAGGTCGTCAACAGAGGTAGGACTGGGTGTTGTCGCAATTGACCTCCCTCGACTTTTGGTCAATCCTACTGTGATCTGGCGATTCTGATGGCAGCGGCGACTTGTGGTGGCTCCAGGGGGACATTCAGGCCAGCTCAATCTTTTCATGGGCTGGCAAACTGTTGCTAGTCGACAGGGACAATTGGCGTTTAGGTAAGCTGTTACGGCGTCCGTTGGGGTTTAGGAGATGTCCTACAGGCGAAATAGATTTCCTTGGACCTGAGGAGCCGACCAATCATGTGCAGCAAAGTTAGCGGAGGAAATTAAACCCTCTGGTTAGCACGTGGGCCAATAATGAAGTTCAACCGAACATGCTGGACTGCCCCTTATTGCATGGACGTGTAAGCTACACAACATTTGCTTTTGGAACATTTGGAATATCCACTTCACCTTTTACTCTAATTTAATACTGCCACTACCACAATGGACTTGCAACAGTCAGCGTCACCTTAGTTCACCAGCATTGCATTTAGATTTTCAAGAACATATCTAAGTCAGTACATTGATCAGTTCATATCATCTTGAGAATAAGCAGCATCACAAGCCTTCTGCAACTATCTAGTGATGACAATATCGTCGATTTTGAGAATCATCCGGACGCACTCCGCAGCGAGGGAAATGGCGCTTGTGCTCACGAGCAGCGGCTGCACCACGTTCTCCTCAAACATGTTGCTGATTGCTCCTTTGCGCACGTTGATGCCTGCACTAACCTGCTACATAGATATAGCATTACAGGATCAGCAATCAGACAAAATGTTCAAAGCAATGAACAAACAGATAAAATGTTACTGTTATCAACTCATGGGATTTCGTTTTCATCAGGGCATGGTCCCCGAGAGGGAAGGAAAACGCCGGTGGATTTGAGAGTGGATAAAAAATGCAGAATCCCATGGGCTCATTCGAATTATCAGGGATCAACCGGTTGACAGGCCGTTATGCACAAACCACTTCCTCCCCTCTATCCGCTCTCTTCAATCTCCCCCCCTTCAGCACTCTAGCAGGGTAAACAAAGTTCACCTCCTCAGCATGCTTGCCTGAACAAACTCAACCCCTCACCACCCCTCCACTCTCGTCCATTCCCTCTCCTGCTCTCCCCCACCCCTTGTGCTGGTAACTGAGAGCTCACCTCCCCCTCGGGGTGCTTGTTGCGCAGTTCAGTGACGATGGAGATGAGGTTCAGCCCTGCATTCTCTGCTATCATGTATGGCACTTACACCTCTCACCCTCCTTCACCCAATCCCCCCATAGAGCAGCAGGCTCAAATCTCTCACCTCCCCCTCCGCGTGCTTGTTGCGCAGCTCAGAGACAAAGGAGATGGGGTTCAACCCTGCATTCTCTGCTAGCGTCCCCCCAAACCCCAACAAATTGCTGCAAGCTCAAAACCCTCACCTCCCCCTCGGCGTGCTTGTTGCGCAGCTCAGTAACAATGGAGATGGGGTTCAGCCCTGCATTCTCCGCCAGCGTGTACGGCACCACCTGTGGGGGGAATAATAAAGCATAGGGGCCACGGGAGGGAAAGGGGAGGAGGGGGGAGAGGAAGGGGTGGAAAACGGAGGGAAGGCAGTGCGGTGGAGTGTGTTAAGCACGATTTGACCTCTTCAATTCCAGGCACTCCCGGCTCCCTTCTCCTCCCCCCTTGCATTACAACTGACGTGTTCTTCCACCATCTTATACACAGCAGTCAACGACCAGCAGTTTGCAACCAGCCAGCAGTCAGCAGTCAACGCCCCTCCAGCGCCTGGGTAAACGTTCTCATGTAGTAGCTCTCCTTGCCCTCAGCTGCTCGCTCCACGCTGCCAGCTGTCTGCTGAACTCTATCTCTGGCGCCCCACTGCCCCACCCTCTCCCCCACAACCGCCTCCCCTACTCACCAACCCCCGCTTCCCCTCCGCCACCCAGCCCCTGACTATCGCCTTCTCCCACCTACCTCATGGAATAACAGATACAGGGTCACCCACCCACGAACTCACCTCCAGCGCCTGTGCAAACGCCCTCGCACAGTAGCTCTCTTTCCCCTCCAGCTGCTTGCTCCACGCCGCCAGCTGCCTGCTGACCTCTATCTCCGGGGCCCCGCCTCCTGCGATGAGGAAGCGCTTGTTGACGAGGCAGCGCACGACACAGAGCGCGTCATGCAGGGAGCGCTCCGCCTCCTCCAACACGAGATTGTTGGAGCCCCGCACCACCACGCTCATTGTACGGCCCATGTCCTTGATGCCTGTGATTTTCACCACCTGATGATGGCATGGGAAGAAGGAGCGGAAGGCGTGAGAGGGGCGGGCAAGGGGAAGAAGATACAGCTCAAGAATCAAAGAGGCACTCACCCATCCAACCCCCACGGGCACTCACCTCGCTCAGCAGTGCAACAAGACAGGCACCCACCCGCCCCTTCCCCTCAGCCACCCACCCGCCCCTTCCCCTCAGCCACCCACCCGCCCCTTCCCCTCAGCCACCCACCCGCCCCTTCCCCTCAGCCACCCACCCGCCCCTTCCCCTCAACCACCCACCCGCCCCTTCCCCTCAACCACTCACCCGCCCCTTCCCCTCAACCACTCACCCGGCCCACCCCCACAGGCACTCACCCGGCCCTCTCCCACAGGCACTTCCTCCACCAGGTCAGCGTAGCCAAGCTTCTCGGCACGAAAGTGCTCCGGGTTAGCAATGGGCAGGCAGTTGAGCGTGCGGCTGATGAACTCGATGTCGTCCCTCTCCACGTCCTTCACCACCAGGATCTTCGCCTTGGCCAGGTAGTGCAGGGAGAGATCGGTCACGGCGTCACGCAGGATGGACTTCTGGATGAGCAGCACGTTGCAGCCGGTGGCGCGGATCTTCTTGATTATGTTGAGGATGTAGTTGCGCTCCTCCTTGAGAATACGGTCCATCTGATACCCACGGGTGGGGAAGGGGAGGAGGAGAGGGGACAGGGAGAGAAGGGAGCACAGGCAGCACAGGGAAGGGTTGAGTTCCGGATGGAAGCAAGCAAGACGTTCCACATCTTTCACCACCAGAATCTTGGCCTTGGCTTTTGAGACGTCTCAAAAGTCTTTCACCACGTGTTTTGAGTCAACTCAAAACTCGGATCTTGGCCTTGGCCACGTAGTGCAGCGACAAGTCCGTCATCCGGCGGTGCGGATCTTCGTGATTATGTTGAGGATGTAGTTGCGCTCCTCCTTGAGAATACGATCTATCTGATACCACCGGGAGCGAGCACAAGGGAACAGGAAGCACAGGGAGAAGAGGGAGCAAGGGGGTTCATGACACGTTGAAGGGGAGCAAGGGGGTTCATGACACGTTGAAGGGGAGCAAGGGGGTTCATGACACGTTGAAGGGGAGCAAGGGGGTTCATGACACGTTGAAGGGGAGCAAGGGGGTTCATGACACGTTGAAGGGGAGCAAGGGGGTTCATGACACGTTGAAGGGGAGCAAGGGGAGCAAAGAAGGGTCGAATCGAAGATGAGCAACACATTGAAGATGACTCGCCTGCCATGTCATCTTCCATCTAGGTTCAGTCTGACTGCGCCACTCACCTGGGCGGCAAGTCATCCACGCAATAGCTAAACTGGGCGGAAGCTCACCTGGGTGTAGTCTGAGACCACAACAGACTGCTCCATGTCGGTTTTGGGCGGCGAGATCTGGAACTGGATGAGTCCGATCTTGGCCTTCTCCACCCTCGATGGCCCGCCTGCCGCGTGGCTCGCCTTGCGGTCAAACACGAGCCCTCGTACCATCTCTGTGTCGTCCACCTGCGGGGGGAAGGGGGGGACGAGGGAGAGGGAGGGGGACGGCGGAGAGGCAGGGGGATGTGGGAGAGGCAGGAGGGCGGGTGAATCATGGTGGAAACAGCTTGCTTTGCGGTCCAACACCAGCCCTCGCACCATCTCTGTATCGTCCACCTGTGGGTGGGAAAGGGGAGGAGGGCGGAAATGGGGGAGAATAAGAACGTAAAGGAATGCATGGTGTGCCTGGACTTGCATTGCGGTCCCACACCAGCCCTCGCACCATCTCTGTGTCGTCCACCGAAAGGGCGAATGAAGACTTGGGAGGGCGAGGAGGAGGGAAGAGGGGGAGAGGAAGGGGAGAGGAGGTTGGGTCAATCAAGGTGGGAGAATGCCTGCGGTCCAACACCAGCCCACGCACCATCTCTGTGTTGTCCACCTGTGGGGGAGAGGGGGAAGGGGGAAAGGGGGAAGGGGGAAAGGGGGGGATAGGAATGGAGTAAAACGGGTGGTGTGGGTGGCCTTGTCTTGCGGTCAAACACCAGCCCACGCACCATCTCTGTGTTGTCCACCTGTGGGTGGGACGGGGAGCAGAGTGAAGAACCTGAGGGAAAGCACGCCGATGAATGCGGGGTTAGATATTCGTGGTTGATGTGTTGGGGTGTCATTGTGCCGCCCATCTCTCATTGTGCCGCCCATCTCTCATTGTGCCGCCCATCTCTCATTGTGCCGCCCATCTCTCATTGTGCCGCCCATCTCTCATTGTGCCGCCCATCTCTCATTGTGCCGCCCATCTCTCATTGTGCCGCCCATCTCTCATTGTGCCGCCCATCTCTCATTGTGCCGCCCATCTCTCATTGTGCCGCCAGCACTCACCGTGCCGCCAGCACTCGGGATACAATGAGTAGGATAGATTGCAAAAATCCCCGGCTGATTCGCAATTTCTTATACCGGTGCGGATTCCGCGAAAATAAGGCTAAAAACGCCCCGTGCCGCCAGCACTCACCGTGCCGCCAGCACTCACCGTGCCGCCCAGCTTCTTGAGAACTTTGATGTCCCTCAGATCGACCACATCTGGACGGCTGGGATCCATCACCTGCAGCACACAGTCCACTGCTAGCGGGGCGAGCAGAGACGAGTACTGGCTCACCACCTGGGCATAGGAAGAGAACGAGACAACAAGCGGAGGTTGGAAAGAGAAAACAGGAAATAGAGGAGAGGTAAGAGTGCGAAAACGGGGAACCGACAGGAGGTGGAAGGGGGCACGAGAAAATGGGCCGAGGATGAAATCCAGAACGAGATGCTCCTGCCAATTGCGTACAGTTTTCTTGTCACATTGTGGACCAAATTACAATTGCGACAAGAACTAAGTCTATTCCCTTGAAGAATGATTGTTGAGAATTCTCGAAAATCGGTCACAAGAACATAGACTATTCCCTTAAAAGAATGCTGGAATGGCCAAGAGGAGACGTGAGAACTCTCGAGACTAAATGGTGAGGAGAGCTGAGCCCATCTGAACTGCATCGCGTTGTACCACACCGCACCGCACCGCATCATACCGCTTCGTACCTTGCTGTTGAGCGATGTGCTAGCGCTCTTGACGAGGGACTCGCGGTCTGAGAGCTCCACAGGCACCGCCATGGTGGTGAGGATCTGCGCCGGGGTTGGTGAGGGTGTGGGGGGGGGGGAGGGAGGGGACGAGTGGGGGAGAAATCAAATTGTGTAGGGGACGGACAAGGATGGGACGCCCGGTCTGACAGCTCCACCGGCACCGCCATGGTGGTGAGGATCTGCGCCAGGAGAGGGGAAGAAGTGTGGAGGAGAGGGAGAAGGAAGGGAGAAGAGGGAGAAGTGGGCGGCCAATCTGACAGCTCCACCGGCACCACACAATCTGACGTGGTGGTGATTGTGTGTGCCGAGGGTCTGATGGACGCCCCTTGCATCCCCTCCCACACACCTCCCTTACGAAACTCCTCACTCACGCGCAACTCCCCCCCTCCCCACACGCAAACCCCCCCTTTCCCCTCCGTCTCCCCTCCCTCCCAGCAACCTTGTAAGCCTCCCTCTAAGCCTCCGAGATGATTGCAGGGCGAATGCCCTTTTTCCAGAAAGGATGTCCCCTCGCGAAGAATGAATTCCATGCCCAGATTACACCTCGTTCCTACCTCAGCGGCCTTGTTAGCAGCCTTATGCAGAGCCTCGGAGATGATTGTAGGGTGAATGCCCTTTCCCAGCAGCGGTTACAGGGGTTTTTGAGTCGACTCACCCCAGGATGCATCTCGTTCATTCGTACCTCAGCGGCCTTGTTAGCAGCCTTGTGCAGAGCCTCGGAGATGATTGTAGGGTGGATGCCCTTTCCCAGCAGCGACAGGCACTCCTTCAGCAATGCACCCGCCACCACCACCACTGCACCGCGGGGAACAGGGGGAAAGGGGCAACAGGGAGTTGTGTGAATGAGGGCAAGGGGGGAAAACACGGGAAAGGGGCAAGGGGCGGAGGGGGGAAAGGGGAAAGGGAGACACATAGAACATGGAATGATGCATTCTCAGCCGTGGGGGCAAGGAAAGGGATACACGAAAACGGATTGAGGAAGAACGAACAGGTGGAGTTGGCATTCACACACGCACATAGACACACACAAACAAAGGAAACATAATCCGCGTCAAGAACTAACGGTGCAGCGCTAGGCACTGAATCAGGTGTCGGAGGCAAAAGCTTAGCTTGGAACTTCACCAACACCCATAACCCTGAACCCCGATACAGAGTAGCAGCTGCTGCTTACTGTCTGTCGTTCCATGATCTCGAATCCCGAGTTGAACCTCGTATACCAGAACCAAATCCTGAACACTAAAATCCACATTCCAAATCCCAAATTCCGAATCCCGAATCTCAAATTCCGAATCCCGTATCCTGCGACGAACCTGTGGTGGTGCCGTCGCCTGCGACGATGTCCTGCGACTTGGACAGCTCCACCAGCATCTTCGCCGCTGGCTGTGTCACCTCCATCTGAACCGGGATAAGCGTTACAGGGCGAATCGAAAACATGAAGTTGTTGAACAGACTTGAATGGCTTTCAAATTGCGGAGCATGTGCATGAGAATCGCGTCGTTAAAGAGTAACGGAGAAAAAGAACCCTGATTTGGGAAACAGCGTAAGGGACAAATCGCAGAGGAGTCTAATCTGAATAGTTGTCGTATGGAAGGGTCTAATCTGAATAGCCTGTTCTGAATGGGTCTAATCTAAACGGCTTTGGTCTGAAACGGCTTAATCTAAACGGTACTACTCCGAGTGGCTCGGGTCTGAATGGAAGGGAAGAAAAAACACACAGAAGGGAGAATCAGACGTTGACGCCTGAAATGAACTTGGAACTGCGAATCAAGACCCGAATTCACATCGCAAAAGCTGACACGCCCATAAGCGATGTGCATATGACCTGGATCTTGTGAATAATGGGTTTCAAAGGGGGACTTCCGCCTTAACATACGCACATCGGAGCAGCAGCGGGCCGAACTCACTGAAACTCTCACCCCTATGTCCACTTTCCCTGACACTGAGACAGCCAGGATTCCAGAATCCAGATCTCCAACGGCTGACCAGTCCCGAGAAGATCCAATACTGCATCCATCTTCACTGGATATTCCATCATCCAAATCCATCACCCATGTGATGATCAGTCTCGCCGAAATCCCCACACCTCCGCAGTCGCACCTTGTTGAGAATCGTCGCGCCGTCGTTGGTGATAATGACCTCGCCGGTGGCCGTGGTGAGCATCTTATCCATCCCCCGGGGCCCCAGGCTCGTTCGCACGGCATCCGCCACGGCTTTAGCCGCCATGATGTTCGCCTGACGGATGTCGTCCTTCCTGCTCGTATCCGAAAACGTCTCGCCTTTCGCTCCTTTGCCTCCTCCCCCTCCCGCCATCGCGGGGACCGGAGCCACCTGAGCTGCCGCCATGCTAAGCTGGTGAGATCGAGGGTTTCTGAGCTGCGAATCTGCTGAATGCCGATCGGATCGACCGATTTAAAGCGTGGATGCTACGGAATCAGATCGAGAGAGACGGAAACGAACAGCAGATAGAACAGATCGAGCAGAACTTGCGGTGCGGTGTGCTGTTTGACCGAGATCAGCACGGATCGAAGGTATCACTGGAGGAGGTCACGACGATGGTGCTGTGGAGGGAATCTGAACTGAAAGCTTTTTGTGCGATCTGAGGTCGCACAAGCTCATTCGGCCAACTTCATTGACACTCAAATTATGCCTGACGCGGTTTGCAAGCGTACTCAACCAACAATTTCGCAGTATAGTCAGTACAAATACTTTTGAAAAATATTATAAGAACAATACTGAAACAAAGTCGCCACCAGCAGGTCTGCACATACCCAACCAAAAAGGGAACATACTAAAACGCTTGGATAACCAAGAAATAATATGGTAATATTAACCGTAAATACGGGATATTGTATAGTGTTTAGGTTTTTATGCTACAACAAACAACACCGCCCAGCGGAGCTTGCTACCCGAAATGCTTTAAAAAACAGCCCTCCTACTGAAAGGCATCCAGTAAGGATGGCATCAACCCTTAAAACCTTGTCGCATGATGCCGACGACCCTATTCCGTTAAGTTATTCCTAGTCTGCATTTTTCCCAATGGGTTTTTTATCTTTACGTAGCATCCGGGCTCGCTACGTTCTGCCTGGGAGACACCGGCGAGAGCACTGGGAGGCTGCTAAGAGGGTGTTGCGCTACTTGTGCAGCACATAGGGCATGGGGCTCGTGCTTGGAGGACGGGGTGAGGTTGTCCTCATTTTTTATCTTTTATCTATACAAATTTTCTTTGTACAGGGTTGAGTATTCAATGTTTTTTTTGTTTATTGTAAGGTAGCACCTCCACACAATATTGTCTAATGAAGTTCGGTTATCGCGTTCTGTTTCTATCACATTTCGGAGGTGTTTTTAGCCTGAAAAGTGTGATTGAAAAGCGAGAACCAATCAGCGATGAGAAATCGAAGTTGAGTACGCTTGCAAACCGCGTCAGGCATAATTTGAGTATCAATGAAGTTGGCCGCAAGCTCATTTGCGTGACACGTTACTTTCTGTTCAAAAGGGTGAGTATCGATGCCGAGCGGCAGGGAAGGAATCCTCAAAGTACGTGAGTTTGGGGTGAGTTTGTTCGCATCGCATTACACGTCACATGTCAAAGTTCGGAAAGGTGAGTAGCGATGCAAAGCGGTGACAAACAACCTGCGCCTTCAAGGTTGCTTTCACCGTATTCTCAGTTTCGCTCCGTTGCATGTATTCTTTAACAGAGTAAGAGGAGACACAGTCCAAGCTCACCTGAGTTATTCAGTATCCAGTATATAATAAGGGTATTACAACATGGGTTCCTGTGCTTATTGGAGTCCAATTGTGGACAACATAATAGAAACAAATAATGAGCTAACAGAAGAGGGGAGGCAGCTGCTTCATCATTCTAGATTGCTTGAGAACAACCCCAAGTATGCGAGACCAGTCAGACGAATCCGTTCCAATTTAATATCCATGGAAGCAGAGCGGATTTATCTGTCCCTTGAGGTTGCACAGGGGCGGTTCCAGCGAAGTTGGTCATGGGTTGTGATGTGCTGAGGGGAGCAAGGGCGGTGGACTGCATGGCATTGAAGGACATGGAGGCTGGCATGGAGTCTGAGATGGTTGCAGGCGACGACGATGTTTCTGGGATGAAATCTGGAAGAAAAACCCCTGGAATCTTTTGCAATTGCTCAAACTTCTCTTGAAGAAGCTTGGCCACAGAAGGATCCTCTTTGACCTGATTAAGGCAAACAAAACGGGTGTCAAACACGGACCCAATGCACAACCAATGGCAAATGGACACAGAAACCTAACTGTGCATACTAAAATTTCCAGGCTTTAAGTAACATCAGTGCGTACCGGGAGAACAGAACCAATTTGTACGGCTCCACCAGGAACTGGGATCACAGCGATGGTCTGCACACGAAATGGAAGGTGGCAATGAGAGGCGCTTAGGTGACTGGCCAGAAAACGAAGGTTAAAGCGTGGGAACATCGGCTGGTGAAACGGCAGGAGGACAGCATGGACGGTGGGAGAGATCGGAGAATAGGCACCTTGATGCCAGACGCGAAATGTTCATCCCATCCCGGCGGGTGTTGGTTCTGCACGGAGTCGAGGGCATCTGCCCTGTAGTACTTGGAATCATTGTAGACCCACTCGGCTGCCTCCGCTGAAACAGCTTGCCCCATCAACCTGCAGCGACCGAATTTGGTGCATCAGTAATGATGCAACAAAAAAAAAGGCCGAAATCACGAAAATGGCAGGCGAAACCAACAGAAGCTGAAGTCACGAAAACGAAACAGAAAAGGCTACCGTTCGAAGGAACTCACCCTTCGCCATAGTTGTAGATCTGGTACGAAAACCTAAGGAAACTGGCGTGCAGCAGCTTCCAGTCATATGAGAGCTGCTCCAGCGCGGGATTCTGGGCGCTGCAGCCCGCAGCGCCGCCTACAGCTGCGTCCCTTAATCGCTCCATCTGAGCGTCAAGCTTCTTCAGCACAGCTTGCGGAACAAGATAACCGTCCTCCCACATCAGATGCTCGACAAGAAAAACGCACAGCGAAAGACAATGGCAGAACGGAAAAAGAACCGTTAGAAAAATAAGGAAAGGGTAGTCGCCAGAGGTGATGCCATGAGTCGAGGGGAGGAAGAAAAAATGTGAGAAACCTGACTCACCATTCGTCGTCTTCTTGCCGTTTCATGATGCGATTACCTCTTGAAGGCACACTGTAAAAAAGAAAAGAAACGGGGGAAAACAAGACACAAGTTCGCCCACACACATCGGGAAATTTTAGACATTTTACGCAGCCATCAACAGAGCGTCACATTATATGCCGTCACATATCGACAATGGCAAGCTACTACGGTTCCGGATGAAAACACGATGTAGTCAAGAAACCCTAGAACGGTTATGACGGCTGTGTCCTTACCTCTGCTGTGTCCGGGGTACTGCGCGGCGTTTCAACCTCCAAAATACCGAGTACGTCCAGCCGTTTTGTAAGCAAATGTCTTTAAGAACCTGTCTTAATAGATACATCGGCTTCTGAGCTAAGACCATTCTCGAACTCTTGGCCGGGGTAGCCATTATTAGAAAACAAGAATAATATTAGTTGCTGGAAACCCTAGCTTGGAGACAGGAAACGGATCCTCGCTGCACGTCAGTAGGATTAGGGAGTTGTAGAAACAAACCGCGATGTCAGGACTCAGGAGTTGCTTGGAGGAGCCAATGCTCAAGAAAATTCTAAGACCTCAACTAAACTTCCTCCTAACCAATGGCGCTGTTCTGTAGACCAATGAGTTCGTCTATTGTCCGTCTTCGTTGGCGAGGAAACACATTGGTCTGGGCGTATGGAACGGTGGCCCAGCCTCTTGCTCCTCCTGAACAACAACGCAATGGCGGAAATCGGAAGCATGACAATCGTCATCAACGAAATCTCAGAATCTTCCAAGCATGAGGTAACGATGGCTGTTTGAGGAACAGTCAATGAGCGTGAGGTTTTGGTTGCCTGCCAACCATCCTGTCCCGTGCCATGCCATCTCATCAGGCCGTTCAGGGGGACACCAAGCACAGTTGAGGCAGCTGCGGACTTGAGGCATCACACTCTTTCGGTTGGCTGGGAACAATCGATGAGTGGGATGACGAGCTGGATGGAGGTTTGACCCCATTTCGCAGGAAAGCTGGAGGGTTGCAGTTCGGTTTCGACAATCCCAACTCGTTGTTGTTTTGCAACCCCTCCGGCTTGTCGCAGCCTGAGTGCACCCAAAGCCGCCTCTGGACAAAGCAGTGGGCCCAATTCGCGGTTCTGGTTTTTTCACCACCGAGTGGGGGTTGACAAGCATTTCATTTGGGCCTCCTGGGGAATTACGACTGCATTTGAACTTTCCAATCATAGCATCACCATGTGAAAGCAGGCCTTGCCTGGTGGCTCAGTGTTGAAAATTGAACACCAAACATCCCCACAAAAGATCGAGGAACCATGAATTTGACTAGTTCAGAAAACTATATGAGTGATGATAGGGGTGGTTCCAGGCCTCACAGAATACATGGAGGGACAAGTGGAGACTGGTTTGAAAACTGGTGTTTGAATGCTTTTTGCTAGCACTCCAAAAATACCCTGCTATATTCAAAAGCCATCCGTTCCTACTGGACTGCCTTCAAGGTTGGGTTACGACCCTAGCTCGGATTTGGCTGGGGTTCTGCAAAACAAATTAAGCTCCGTTTGTCACGAGGTGTTTACGCGGTGATGACGAATTCCAGCGTCACGAGCTCCGTGCTTGTTCAAATCCAAAGCCCCACCTCCCTCCTACCAACCAACCCGCCCGCCCCTTGAGACCGTGTTGTTTCTGGAAGTATGGAGGCCGACATCGCCAGACGTTGAAAGGCGGCGACACACCGTAGCATGTCGAACTCTTCACGAAGGCGGAGACACCAAAAACACCAGTCGATATTTCGCGAAGTTTTTTCGGCGCTAATGCCACCTGTAACGACTCGAAGCCTTTTCATGAACACGCCTTTCGAGATATGATCTACATATGCGTCAACAATTCTGGTGGTTGATTACTTGCCAGGGTGTCCAACATCGGGAAATGGGGTTGTGAAATGAACACCTTCTCTTGCGTCACTGTAGATGCATCGCAGTGCACTGTCGAAATTTGGATGTTTACTTGCCCTGCTTTTCACGGATTTACGCTACTATCTGGCGTGAGGCCCTGTAATCAGAGCTTTCTGAGGCATTCGCACTGCCATGCCAAGCCAACTATCAAGAGTCGCTAAAGCCTTGGGCTGCCTCTCATCCTCACCTCTAATTGATTTGCTGGAAACAATTATCAGATGTTCAGAGCTAGTTCGGGAGCAACGTTTCCGGCTCATAAAAACAATCGCATTCTTCAAGTTATCGGGTGTAAAGTTTGGGGAATCAAACTGAGGGCCCACCGATTGCTGTCAGCCCAACATCTCCTCCCGCTTGCTGCGTCTCGCATACGTGTTCTTTTCTTTCCGGCAACCCCCAAGTCCCACATCAGCTACTCACCCTGTTTTCCCTGGGAAAACCAAACTCGAAAGGCGCTGTTGCTTCTAGAATACACCTCATCGAGCACCCTGCACTTACAGGTTGAACCTAGCTCAAAACTTCGACATGGCTGGTCCCCTGCCACGACTTGAGAGTCTTGGTCCTAAAAGTCCGCGGAGGCATGGTCCCGTATTGGCTAGTGTAGATTTCTCCCTGACACAAAGCCCTGACCAGTGGAGATTTGAGCTCAACGTACAGTGCTGATCTTGTTGGATGTTGAAACTCGCTCGGGCATTGTCAGACATTGGCCAATACCCCTAAAGACCAAGAACCATGTCAGTTCCGCAAACGAGGGGTTCCCCTTCGATATCATACGTGGAACACGGTTAGGTGAGGTGAAGCATCAATTCTGTTTTTAGATATTAGGCCATGCATCATACTTACATTTTTTTTGTGGTACCATAACTTCTTAGACACATCTGAAGCCAATCACCAAAAGATTCTTGAAAGGGGAGGCCTAAAAGAGATCATTCAATATTGCATACTCTTCCCCAGTCTACACACTTCGCACTTTTAGGGGAAGGTGGCTGTATGTGTAACACGAGGGGCCATGCAGCGCAATGCCCTCGCGATAGTGTACCATGTGATATCGCAGCCGACGGCGTAACCTGCAAAGAGCATGCCACTGTACCAGCTTCAAACATGCAGCGCAAGTGTAGCGAGTCATGCAATAGTGGAGCCCATTACCTGAAAGGAACGAGTACAGATGAAGTGCAGTGATTAGAACCTCTGAACAAATAAACAAATTGCTTATGAATTATTTGGCCAGAGGACATGAAGAGAGGCACAGCAATCAACACATCAGCAAGAGACACACCCTCAGAACCCCGAAGCTGGGTGGGGTTGATGAGTTGACGAGATGATTGGTAGAGAGACAGGGATGGTTGACGGCTGAACCCCTCAGCAGGCCACTCACACGCCAAGCATCCATGAAAGCAAGCACCCAGATGGTACCAGGCTACCAAGCACCTTCTCATCCCTTACAACCTCTCCCTCCAATCACCCCTCCTCTTCCTCAACCCTACCTCTCATTCTCGCACCCGTCCTCACCCCTTGCCCCAACACATCGGACTCACCTCATCCAGATCATCCAGTACTGGTGGTGCATTTATCACATCTAAGGACATGGCCCACTCCTCTCCTAACTCCTACCCACACCTCCTGACCCCTCTCACTCACCTCATCCAGATCATCCAGTATTGGTGGTGCATCCATCACATCTAAGAACATGGCCCACTCCTCTCCTAACTCCTCCTCTCCTCCCATCCCAATCCCCGGCCCCATCAACCCTTCCACATCGTCAGGGGCAGCCATTTGGAAGTCACTGCCCCCTCCGCCCTCTACAAGCACATCTAGTCCGTCCTGTACACCTGAAAAGTCTCCTGCACCTATTGGTCCAGGAGAAAACACAGGCCCTGCTTCAGTTCCTACTGTCCCTGCTGCTGCTGTTGCTGTTAGTTCCGCTTCTAATGCTCCTGTTGCTGCTGCTGTTGCCATTCCGCCACCTGCTGCTGCTTCTGCTTCTGCTGCTGCTGCTCCTCCTCCTCCTCCTCCTGCTGCTGCTGCTGCTGCTGCAACACCTCCTCCTGCTTCATAAATAGTTGAATGCTGCATCAAGCCCTGTCCGACTCTCCAACCCGCACCGTCAGGCTCGGCACTGACTTCCCCCCTCTCGTCCCAACCTGCAGATCCCGGTTCGGAAGCACTGCGGCCCATAGGCTCGGGATAGTCAAACCCGACGCCCGGTGGTTCGGCGGAGCTTTGACCATCACAATCCAGTCGCTCGGTTATGGAAGCTTCCCCACACGGTTGGTGGAAGATTCCTCCATCCATACTCCCACCATCACGGGCTTTAAGCTCCTGTGCCCCTGCCACACGTGCTTCTGCCACACGCGTTGCTACCACGTGTGCCTCTGCCTCTGCCTGTGCCTCTGCCTGTGCCTCTGCCTGCGCATGTGCTTGTGCCTGCGCATGTGCTCCTAGAGGCGAGTTAGTCGGTTGATTCCGTTCCAGCAGCAGTTGCGACAGCAGGTCAGCTTTGGCTGTGGGGGCCAGGCTTGCCACCAGGGACTGTGCGGCAGTGCCGGGAGTTTGATTGCCGGATATCAAATAACTTAGTAGGAGGTCCTGTTGCTGCTGTTCCTCCACGGACAATTGTTCCTGCTCCTGCTGCTGCTGTTTCTGCTGCATCTGCTGCTCTTGCTGTTGCTGAAGCACCTGCTGAAGCTGCAATGCTGCCTGTTTCTGTCTCAACTGCTGCACCATCTGCTGCTGCTGCTGCTCTTGTAACTGCTGGCGTTGTTGCTGCTCTAACAACTGCCGTTGCTGCTGCTGCTGCTGCTGCTGTACCGCCTGCCTACCTAGTGGACTGGCAGCAATCCTTTCCCCCCCAACCCCACCACCACCGCCGCCGCCGCTAGCAGCAGCAACAGCAGGTGGTGGGGGCCGGGGGAGGTGGCCAGGCAGAGAGGCGGATTTGGGGAAGAAGCGGGAGGCAGGGCGGGGGAGCGGAGCTGCTGGGAGAGCGCGGGAGTGGGAAGGGGGCAGGGGGTGCGCGGACCCATGGGTGGGCGGAAGGGGGGGTGCATGTGCGGATGCATGTGGGGGTGTATGAGGGAGTGCATGTGGTGGGGAGGCAGAGGAGGGGGACGCGGACGGAGGGGAGGAGGAAGCGTGAAGGGAGTGGAGTGTGCGCGAGGGCTGGGAGTGGGAAGTAGACTTGACTATGCCTGGCCTTGGGCTCCCACCCATGCCTCCCCTCTGTTGCTGCTGCTGCTGCTGCGACTGCTGCGCTGTCAACGGCTGCTGATGCTGCTGTTGTTGTTGCTGATGCTGCTGCTGTTTCTGCAGAAGCAGCTTCTCGAGCAGCTTTGCAGCAGCAGCAGGGTCTCCGTTGCAGCGCTGCAGCAGCATCTGAAGAGTGGCGTTCCCTGCTGCCCTCAAAGCATTACTGACAGCGCCAGCAGCACCACTGGCACCGGCAGCACCACCACCACCGGCAACAGCACCAGCAGTACCATCCGCGGTCGCAGCATCACCAGAACCAGCAGTGGCCCCACCCATTCCTCGTTCCCCCATCCCGTCTGCACTAATACCCATTTCTTCCGCCATACCCATCCCCCCCACCCCACAGATCCCATGAACGCCGCCCGCACCACCCATGGCATCCATACCTCCCCACCCCTCTCCACCCATCAATGCACCACCCTGCTCCTCCCCATTCCCTCCTCCTCCCAAGCCCATGCCGCCCTCCATGCCCTCACTCATGCCCATATCCATCCCCATGTCCATCCCCATGTCTACATCCAAGCTAGCGTCCCCATCAGCCAAGCCACACGCATCCAGAGCAGCAGCATATGCATTAGCCGCAACAGAGGTGCCATCAGTTGCAGCAGCATTGCCATCAGCAGTGGCACCACCAGCACTACCATGCATCATTATCATCTCCTGCAGCAGCCATTCCATCTCATCCACCCCCACATCCCCTCCCACTCCCACACCCACACCCCCTTCCGCGTCCCCTCCATCTCCCCACCCATCTGCTCGTCCCTCTCCTCCCCTCTCTCCTTCAACCCCTCCCTGGTTCGACAGCATCGCTGCATCTCCTGTTACCATTCCCCCTGCCCCTGCACATGCCCCCCCTCCTTCCATCCCTACTCCTGCCAATCTTGTTCCCCCTATCCCCCCTCCCGTTCCCCCACCCATCCCCCCTCCCGTTCCCCCTCCCATGCCCCCTCCCATGCCCCCTCCTGCCATCTCCCTCCCCCGCCCTGCGCCCGCACCTCTCGGAGAACCACCAAACGGGCACAGATTCAGAAACTCAGACAGAAACTCGGGATTAGAAAGACTCGACACGTGCCGGCTCGAGAAAACCCCATGCCTCCCTCCCCCCATGCTTCCCCCCATGCCGCCCCCGCCTGAGCTAGCAGTGGGGGAGGCCACTCTATGCATCACCCGGGCAGCAGAGGTGGTATTGGCGGAGGAGGAGGGGGAGGAGGAGGGCGAGGTGGAGAAGGAGTGGCGCCGCATGTGGGCAGCAGCTCGGGTCATGCCCTGGATGGGACTTGTGCAGCTGAGGCTACGTTTGAACAGCGGACTTGATACCATTCTGCTCAGAGCAGCAGACGGATGGCTGTAACCAGACGCACCCATTCCCCCTCCCGCTCCGCCTCCTGCTCCTCCCGCTCCTGCTCCTCCTCCCCCGCCCCCTCCCCCGCCCACTCCCCCATCCCCGCCTACCCCCCCTCCGCCCAGCGCCCCCCCCAGGCGGAAGCTCCCCCCCAGGAGGGCGCGGGAGGGGGAGAGCTGGCGGGCGAGGGCGGCACGGTCGGCGGAGGAGAAGGTGTGGCGGCGCTGCTGGGCCAGGGAGCGCGACCTGCGGTGGGAGGGGGGCTTGTCTGCTGACAGTGATGTGTGCACGCCTGTGTGCTGCTGCTGCTGGAATTGTTGGTGCTGCTGAAGATGCTGCTGCTGTGGACCGTTGCTTACGTGGTTGGCGTTACTCGTGTGGTTGGTGCCTGGGGTGGTGGCATGAGGTGGGGATGTGGTGATGAGGGTGAGACCGGGTGGCAGCAGCTGTCCTGTAGTGGGGAAGGTGCGGGAGTGGTCTAGGGTGACACAGAGAGCGTCGAATTCAGCCAGGTCTGCAGGCGAGGCTGTGGGGTGGAGAGGAGGGGTTGCGGCTGCTGCAGCACCATTGGCAGTAGCAACAGCAGAGGCAGCAGCGGCAGCAGCTCCATTACCAGCAGCGGCATTACCAGCAGCAGTAGCAGTAACTGCAGACTCATTGAGCTGCTGAGCAGAAGGCACATCAGGTGGGGACATGCGTGGGCGGGTGGGAGCAAGCGGGGGAAGAGTGACAGGCGAGCAAGGCTTGGGACTCATTTCAGGCGATACCGTGGATGCCCCTGCTAATACCCCTGCTAGTGCCCCTGCAAGTGCCGCTGCTGGCCTCCTTGCTGTCACCGCTGCTCCTGCTCTTCCCTCTGCTCCTTGTCCTGCCGCTACCACCCCTCCAGAACCACAAACAGTAGAGGCATCACCAGTAACACCACCACCACCACCAGTGGCACCACTGGCAGCTCCCCCTTCCCCTGCATCCACTTCCCCTCCACACACCGACATATCCGTCCCTCCTGGCCCTGACGACAGCTCATACACGTCCTGCCCTGGCCCCCCTTCACACGCCCCCCTCCCTCTCTCCACACCCCACACAACCCCCCCTCCATCATTACTATCCCCCACGTTTTCCCCCGGTCGCCACTCGCCAGTGCCCTCCTCAGCTGCATCATCATCTCCACCACCACCACCACTACCATCACCACCACCACCACCGCACTCATCCTTCCCTCTCTCCCCCAATACCTTGCCTGCGAATCCTAGTCCAACCTCACTTCTTGGTCCACTTGGCCCACTCATCCCTATTCCGTTCCCCGCTTCCCAATTCTCCCTCTGCAGAGCACCTGCTGAGGAGCCGAATCCGCCTCCCCCTGCTAAGCCTGCCCCAGTGCCGCCCTCCCTTGGCCTTCCCTGCTGCGACCCACTCGTAACAGCAGCGGGAGCAGCAGCAGCAACACCAGCAGCATCCTGCCTACGCCCCTCTCCCCACTTCGCCGTCCGCCCCTGCTGCTGAAAGTGCTGCTGCTGCTGCAGCTGCTGAAGGCGCTGCTGCTTCTGCTGTTGCTGCCACTGCTGTTGCTGCAGCAGCAGCTTCTGCTGCTCCTGCTGCTGCTGGTGCTGCTGCTGCTGTTGATGCGAGGCCTGCAGGCCAGGCAGACAGTCTCGTCTCTCTACTCTCATCCTGCCTTGCCCCCCTCTTAGGGTTTCCTGTGTCTCAGGTGTTTTCCCAGATAGCAGCGCAAGCTGGGTTAATAGCTGAGACGCCTGGGCAGCTGTGAGATTTTCTCCAGAGCTGCCCAAAAGTTTTTTCACGAGCATAAGGTCTTCTGGTGAAATGTTTGCCGACTTGGCTGCGCTCGGCTGTGATTGGCCAGGGGCAGTTGGGCGACCCGGGTTTACGGAGGTGGTGTTTGGGGAAGGTGTGGATTGGTTTGGAAGGAGGGATTGGTTCGGAAGGGTAGCTTGCAGGTTCGGAATGGGGTTGACTCGGGGGGGCTTCCGAAGCTCATCGAACTTGGTTCGGAGCTTTGCAATCATCTCATTGGTGGGTTTGATCTGCAACCCGAGAGGTGAAGTGCCAAGCCAGGAAGGGAAGGAGGGTAAGGGAGGTGGGAAGAGAGGGGGAAGGGGGAAATGGGGGAGTGAATGGGGCAGAGAAACGGGGAGGGAATGGGGGAGGAAATGGGAGAGGTGAATGAGAATAAACCAGGAGAGAAACCATGGGGGGCAGTGGATGGGCGGAGTGTGAAGCGGGGGGATGGTTGAATGGACGGAACGTGAATGAGTGTGAATGCAAAGATACCACAAACTGGAAGAAAGGAGACGTACCGGCGTGCAGGCAGCAATTTGAAGAACGCCCTGGGGTACACCGATCAACGCGATGACCTGCATGGAGAGGAAAGGAGTGGAGTGGAGTGGAGGGGAGTGGAGTGGAGTGGAGGGGAGTGGCGGAGAGTGGAGTGGAGTCGGGTGGATTTGATTGAAGTGGGTGGAAGGTGGCGGAATTTCCTGAGGATAAATGAGGGTATGCAGAAGGAGGAGAGATGGACTAGGACTGGAGAGAAAATTGAACTTGCAACAGATGAAACCAAGAGGAGATCAAACGGAGAAGGGAATGGATGGATGTGTGAGTTGGAAAGAACAGAGGTGGTCGAGCCTGGGAAGCAGGAGGCTCTCACCTTGACCCCTGCAGCGAACTGCATGTCCCACTCCTCTGGCTGCTCCTCGTCCTTGCTGCCGTCCTGCTCCATCATGGTATAGCATGGTGTGGTGTGGTATGGTGCGGTATGGCATGGTGTGGCATGGAGTGGCATGGAGTGACATGAAAATGAGTATTGTGGTACGGTATGTTATCGTGTGGCATTGTATGATGTGGTATGGCGTGGCGTGGCATGGCGCAACAATGCATAGCGTGGCACATCATAGCACGGACTAGCATGGGAACACATGAACAAAACGCGTGCTACAGTTAAGATCAGACGATACCAGGCAATCCATAAGCTATAGCACCTAACAAAATCTACTACCTACACGCCTCCAGTACTCACCAGGTGCAGGCGCCCCACGCCTTTAAGTGTTCATCAGAATCAAATAATTGCGTCCAGACCAGACTCACCAAGTGCAGGCGCCCCACGCCTCTGATGGTGCGTGACTTGACTGGCTCACACAGCAGCCGGTACCCCCCTGTCATCGCCACCCTGCCCAGCAGCCTGCAGACGAACGGGCATTCGGGAGGGATCAGAGCGGGGGAAGCGGGACAGGGCATCAGGCATAGGCATAGATGGCGGTGCTCCCTCCCTCCCTCTCTCTCCTCCCTCCCTCTCTCTCCTCCCTCCCTCTCTATCCTCCCTCCCTCCCTCCCTCCCTCCCTCCCTCCCTCCCTCCCTCCCTCCCTCCCTCCCTCCCTCACTCACCCGGTGTGGCACGGATAGCGGTGCGAGCGCATGGCGGTAAATTCTTCCTGCAGCGCCAGCATGCGTGCCACGTCAGCCTCCGTCAACGACGCGCCGCTCGTCTGCTTCTGGTCGAACACGTTCGTCAGCAGAAAGTACCCGCCCTCCCACGCCAGCGCGGCTCTGCATCGGGGAAAGGGGGAGGGGAGAGGGGGGAAGGGGGAGGGGAGAAGGGGGTAGGGGGAATGGGGAGAGGGGAGAGGGGAAGGGGGAGGGGGAACGGATGGGTTCTTGATGGTGGTAGTGGATAGTCCACACACGAGCAGCCGCCTCCCACGCCAGCGCAGCTCTGCGTGGGGCGGACCAGAATGGGGGAAGGGGGAATGGGGGAAGGGGGAATGGGGAAGGGGGGGAGAGGAGGTCGGGATGAGGGGGGGAGTGGGGGAAGGAGGAAAAGTGAAGGTTGCGAGGGGACAATTGCACTAAGTCAAGGAATCTGCATTGACGGTTATGGTCGAAAATTGAGTCAGCACACTGCACACGAGGGTGGCCACGATGTGGCCACGACGGTTATTGGTCTGCGCCTTTCATGCTAGTGCACGCATGGGGTGGCCGCGATGGTTTGGAACGGAGGGGCAAGGGGGGCGATAGCACGGAAAACAGGACATCGCGACGGAGACAGCACGGAAAACAGGACATCGAGATTGGAGACAAGCGGAGAGGATCCCGCGCAAGCTTGTTTGCGGCGGATATCTCCATCAATGCGCATGCCCGCAAATTGACGCGGTAGAGATTTCGAATGCCGGACGCGCGGGAAATGCCGCTACGGCGAGAGGCAGCGGATGTCGCCCACTCAGGTCGGCCCATTCAGATCGAATTTCGCGATCATGCAAAAGACGACGACACCTAAGCGAGCAGATATCGCAATAAGCTAGCTCCAAAAGAAGCGCTACGTTGATGTGGTGAAGAACTAGCATTAATAACGAACATAAACAATGTTTGGAGTCATTCGGGAGCATCTCTGGAGATGCCGGTTTTGCGAGCTAGCGATGGTCGGTGCCTCACGAATTAGAATGGATTAACTATAGCTCGCTATGCACTGGCAGCTGGTGACATGCCAGGTGTAACGACAGCGCCACAGAAAGGTGACCGTAGCGCGATGTGGAAACCCTAACTGCTGCATCGTCGGGACACTTTCTTGCAATGCGCAAAGAGGAATTCGTTAGCTGAGCCCTGGCTACCGCGACGGCGATCCTGACAGAATCGAGAAACCCTAAAATCTGACCGACACCGAGACGAGTAAATTCAGCGGCGTATGGAGTGTGTTTTGCAACGAATGTCGAAGGACGGGGTAAAAAATCTATCTTGTCAGGACCGGAACGCCTCCGAGGAGCTCGACGAAGGAGAGAGATACACTAAAGAGCTGGGCATTACACTTGTGACGTGCAGTGCAGCTCGGGAGCGCGCCAAAAGACGGCGTAGGTCCACCCGCCTTTGTCGCACAATGTGCTCAACAGAGTCTGCAAACGAGTGTCGGCCATCCTGCTCCCCTGGCTAATTTCCAGCCAACGAGGAATTTAAGGTGGTAGCTCGTTAGATTACAATAAGTTAGTCAGCGCGACAAGGCCTGTCGCTGAGCTCAGGTATGTTACCAGCTGATAATTCGTCAGCGCGACAAGGACTAATTGTTTCGCGAACGCGTCTTTCCTAGATTCTGGTCTAGGGTCCAATCTAGCACACCCATTCCCATCCACCCAACACATCAGTATTGAACAGGGTGACTTCTAGGAGGAGCAGGGCTGAGATGCAGGTGTTGGCGAATGCAAGCTGAGAAGCGGAGCTGCCATGAATGCTGCAGTGCAGAGGAAATGGAGAACGCGGAGAACGGGGAAGGGAAGGACCAGCCAGACAGACCAACACAGCACCCACACAGAGGGTGTGTCAGTCTTCAAAGTGATGGATTGCACTCGACTGGGTCAAGACTCGATAGTCTGTGCATCGCGACTAAAACCCTCAGAACGAGGCGCAAAATGTTGGTGATTGGTGCATCTTTCAAGCGTTTGAGCCAAGGATCCCTGAAACATTACTTTCTTGCCAACAGCTGCACACGCCCTCAAACAGGTGGTTGGTGAACACGACCAACTGATATCCTTCCATATCTCTGGTTTCACCATCATCAGACCAATCCCTATTTTACGTGAGGGACATCTGCACTAGCCTAAAACAAATACGGCCCAACCTCGCTACTGTCACAGATCGACTCTCCCCCGCTGCACCATGCTCGAATGAAATCGGTCAGAGGGGATTTTCTGCAACCAGGAGGGCGGGAGCACAAGTTTCTCATCTCAGATCAGATGACCAGAATCTGCTATGATTGGTTAGAACAAGTTCGCCGCAAAATTTTCGCCGTGTCTGTCTTCACCTTCGGAAGTCTCCCAGAAAAAATCCACGCAGAGAAACTGTTGTCGAATCAAACCACTCCCGAAGAGGCGGAATGTGAGCAGTGATATGAAGACAGTACCCACTAGTGTCGGGAAATTATACGTGTAGTCACAATTAGGCCCGTTTTATCACGTTTGGTCACGGGGGGATCACGTACAGTCACAGTACAGTACATTCATATCACGTTTGTTGAGTGCAATATGCAAAATCCAAATTATATCTCAGCCAGTTTTTAAGAAGGTGACGAGTACATTTCGGAGGTAAAATTGTTTTCCGCTACGGAAAAAATGCCCGCGAGGTAATTTAACCCGAATCAGTACAAGGATATTCAGAATATCAACTTTTTGGCGTGCGTTTCAACCAGTGACCGAACGTGATTGGTATGCGGGGCGAGGTGTGACCAGGCGTGATAATGCTGTAATCACGCGCGATAGCAACGTAATGTACTGTGAGTGTCCGTGATACCCCCGTGACCAAATGTGATAAAATGGGTCCAATCGTGACTACGCGTATAATTTTCCCAGTAGTGTCATTGATTGCTACGTGTACCCGTTAATAAATGACAAAGTGAAGAATAATGCTGATCTCACAAATAAATCATACATAAAAGGTTGGCCATAAAGAACTAATCACTTTTACGGGGCCAACAAAGCCTTATGCAACGATGTACGGTTCAGCTAAAGCATGCGCGCGATGTTTCAAACACCACTAGCCTGTAAAGGGTGAACAACGTTCAAGGCTCGTGAATGGTGTTGTACGGGTACTTTATGAATTACGCAACCCTCGCTGCCAAAAATCCAAAGCCTAGCTCGCAACTTCACTCTACGTTTCGCATATTTTGGTACAAAAAATGTGCTAATGCATCGCTCACCTTACTATTCTCCCCAACCGTAATGCGATCCTTGTTTACACGCGCCATGATATGATTTATCCCCGCCTGCAATGTATCCGGTATCGTAATCACCCGAATTTAAGAGCCCCCTTAGTTGTAGACCCCCGTGTATATTCTATAAACAAGGGTCGTATGTTTTGGTATGATTGAGTTATACATGTTGCAACCAGAAGGTAGATCGTGCCTAGGATCACCTCAAGAAGGTTTGCAGAATCAAAGTGTTGCAAAGGAAGAAAGTGACCTTAGATCAGAGTGAATCTAAAATGACTAAGAAAATTAAATCATGCAAATAAAACGATTTATATAAGAGTACGAGGGAATACAAAAGGTCATAATCTTGCTATCTACTTTGAGAAATACATTCCCTTACTTGAATTGAAACCCAACTGTGCGGCGCGTACAATTACGAAACAGTTCCCACCAAATTCTGTCAGAATATTATGCTCTAGCCTGTAGTGGGGTGCTCTGTAGCGAGTACAACCCTTCTAGGGTTTGCTATTTGTATCCCCATTCTTGCTAGTTCAGTCCTCTTTTGCCTTCATTCTCTCTTGCCTAGCTAGGTCAACCCTAGCTATGGCTCCTCAGTATACCTACTATTACGACATGGTATCAGAGCTTAACGTTCCTGGCCTGTGGGCCCACTTCACTGCTTCCGCTGCTACTGCTACTCCCTGTCCGCCGCGCGCCCCGTGGTGCGCGGCGTCGAAACTAGGGTTTTCAGCCCGCCGTGCGCCCCGAGGCGCGCGGCGGTTTTCTGCCCGCCGTGCGCCCCGAGGCGCGCGGCGGTTCTCTGCCCGCCGTGTGCCCCGAGGCGCGCGACGGGTTCCTGCCCCGTCGTGGCCTGCACGCGGCCCGTACACCCGGCACGCGGCCCGTACGGGCTGCGCCAGGCCTGCGCGCGGCCCGTACGGGCTGCGCCAGGCCCGCGCGCGGCCCGTACGGGCTGCGCCAGGCCCGCGCGCGGCCCGTACGGGCTGCGCCAGGCCCGCGCGCGGCCCGTACGGGCTGCGCCAGGCACGCGCGCGGCCCGTACGGGCTGCGCCAGGCCCGCGCGCGGCTCGGACCGCCTGCGCGCGGTTCGGGAGGCGGTGCCAGGCCCGTGGGCGGCCCGTTCTTCGCTTCCCCTGTCCTCCCCGCTGTCCCCCGTGCTTCTGAAGGCGCCCCACCCCTCCTTCTGCCCGTTCTCCTGGATTAGGGTTTGGGGTGGGGGGTATGGGGGTGCAGCTTCAGTGTGCCGTTCCCTGCTCCTCCTCCTCCCTCGTCTCCCTCTGCTACAGCTGCCGCTGAGGGGGGTGGTGTGTGGGAGCCTAGGGTTTGGGGTCTAAGGGGGGTACCGTCGGAGTGGAGCTAGGGTTTGAAGCAGGGGGTGTGTGTCGAGGGGTGTGGGACAGTTGGAGGAGGTTGAGCGGAGGCTGCCGTCTTGTCGTCAGCAGCACCTGTAGTCCGGGGCGCTTGTTCCGGTAGCCCAGTCGTAGCCAGCTGCGCCAGTCGCCCGTGGGTCCGTTGCTCGTCTGCCGCTCTTCTTAGCCGCGGAGCCAG